CTCATGGGAGTTGGTTGCACAATGGACTGTTTTGAATCCACAATGGATTCAAAACAGACAGGCTAGTCGCTAGAAAACAAAAAAATTTGATTTCATGACTAAAAAATTGTCTTGCGCAAGCAAAAGTAGTATTTGACTGGTGCAACTATTAGTATTTGACTTCCCGCTTTTTATTTAAAGGAGTAGTTCACTTTAAAAAAAACCAAAAAAAAACTTTTGCTGATAATTTACTCACCATGTCATCCAAGATGTCCATGTCTTTCTTTCTTCAGTCGAAAAGAAATTAAGGTTTTTGATGAAAACATTCCAGGATTTTTCTTCAACGCGCATCACAGAACAGAGCAAGGCGACCATTTGAGCTTATAAAACTTACATTTTGTTATTTATTTATTTTTTTATGAGCGATCGATTCGCTTGATAAGACCCTTATTTATCGTCTGGTATTGTTTAAAGCCCTTTGAACAGTTTGCACTGAAATTGTCTTTTGGACCTTGAACCATTTGGTTCCCAACTAAGTTCATTATATGAAGATTAATTTCTTTTCGACTGAAGAAAGAATGACATGGACATCTTTGATGACATTGGGGTGAGTAAATTATCAGCAAAAGTTTTTTTTTTTTAAGTGAACTTCTCCTTTAACAAAACTGACATTACTTTTTGTGACTTTAGAAGGCTACAGTTTTCTATTCTATTTAGTGTTTGCGGTACTAATACTTGTGTTTTCACGAGAAGAAATGTATTTCCGGCAGAAATCAATTCACAAACTACAAAATACTCTGTGAGAAATGAACCCGGAGGACTTTAAGACCAGGGAAGAGTTGCACAGCACAGCATTCCAGCAGCTTTCGCAAAGGATCTCTTTATTTGTGGAAATGGGTTTCTCCACACCTCCCTGTCTGCCTCACATGTTGAGAAAAAAACGAGTATAGAAACACACGGCAGGCGGCAGCTGTTAGCGCTACATCTCAAACAGAAGTTCAGAGATTACCTGTGGTAGACTAGGACAGGTAACGAATGCCCAGGTAGCGACTGTCTATCACACTCTCTCTTCTGTCTTATTGGATTGGGAATATTATCTTCCTCTTTGGAATGAGTTTCTGGAAAAGCAAAAAGAAGAATGACGACAACAAGTAAGTTTGCATATTTTTTTATTTTTTGCTAGGTAAAAGAGATCGACAGGAAGATAATCTGCATGAACTATTGATAGAATTAATAGGCTACTTGACAGTTTAGTCAATTATGTTCATTCAAATATGAAAATATAGACATTAACGCATCTATGGCATTTCTAATATGAAAGTAAATGAAGTTGTACCCAGTTGTATTTACGGGTGAAAATCATATTATAAATCACATAAAACAAGTACTATCTAACGTTAGCGTCGTAATGAATTAACCGTCTGTCTTTAAAATCTTTCAAGTAGCCTAATAGCGTTAGTGATTGGATTTGCTTTTCTTCTGTTATTGTGAATTTATAATTTTTATTGATAATTTGTGAATTGATAAATTTTTAACTGTTTAGATATTTTTTAACCTCAACCCTCACTGTGAAGTATCCCCAGTATTAAAACTTTAACACCTGTTGGCAGCTTTAATTAAGAACAATAACTAAGACTACTACTTTTATATAATGCTATATAATTATATTATAGATTAACTGTAATAAATTGACTGTATAGTAATGAAATAAGATACAGTTTAGCTTCTCATCAAGAAATATAATATCACCTCAGGAAAATCAGGTATAGAATATCAATTTTCTAATTAATATTTAAAAAGTACTAGTAGTATGTTCCAAAGTAATGTGAACTACAACAACATGATAAGGGACATACTCAGATTAATCAAAAGGCCTTATGTCAACAACAATGTAGCAGTTGACGTCATAACATGGATGAGATTTGGAGCGAGCTGATTGGTTGATACCTGTTCTCTCATGGTAACTCCACCTCCGCCATTTAAATAAATCAATGACTTCACATATGCAGCTTGCTTCTGTGTGTTAATGCTTAACTGAATTTATTACTTTATGACAGAGGAGTAGATGTTCCTGTCACCCTGAACTGTGTTACATTTTCTTTAAAAAACAAAAATGTTAATTTAACCATTCAAATAATCGTTGTTTTCTTTTTTTTATGAATTTCTAAAATAAAACTCTTTGTGTACAGCTTTTCAGTGAAGTTATTTCAGTCTGTTTCCTGTCTATCAGTTTGATACAATTAAATATAATGCCGTTTATATAAAATGCACACATTTTTGAAGGTTGTCTTAATAAAATAATGACAAAGGCACTGGATATCATGTTTAAGGAAACTCTTCAAAGCTGATGAAATATGATCTTGAGGGTTTTTCCGAGATATATTCGAAGTTTGTGTTCAGGAAACTGAGTCTCATTGTGGCTCAGATCAGTTTTTGTTCATTCATATGCTTTCATCTGATTCTAATCCTGATCTGCTTTTAGGGATCCATTCAAAACTGAAAAATCGCTGGACAGCCCCACATCACCATCCCAGTAAGTGTGTCGCACTCAAATCAACCTGTGTAAGATCTGTTTGACACGAACAACTATTAATTAAGGATTGAAACACATTTACGGACCCACACTCTGTTATCTGATAAAGAATGTCATATGAGAAGTTTGTGGCAGTAACTATAAGATTGCTTCCTCTTCTTTTTTTTTAGGTCACCTATCATAGAGAAAGATGGGCTGGACCCTGTCATCACTGATTATGGGTAGGATTTTAACTCCTCCAAAAAAATTCTTTTCTTTTTTTACTTTACTTTGCCCTTTGCTCTGCTGCTATAATGTTTTGTAAAGAAAAACGACCTAGAAAAAAACTTGGTTGTTCATGCATAAGTGAACATGAACAGCAATACCCAGATTAACCTATGTGTTGCGACAGGTAAGATGATATTATCATGTTACTTCCCACAATGCACTGCAATGCTTGCGTATTTAATTATAAACGCAATAATTGCTACAGAGCATATAAATATAAATAAATGATTTTTTAGGCCTTGAGTCTGTAGATCTTATTGACATCTATTCAGTATTGCAGACCGTCACATAGTCAAATTATGGAGGTAACGTCTCGTTAGAGAGATTTAATGATTGTTCTCATAAAGGGCAGGTTCCTACCATCCTGCACATGTATTATTCAAAGGTTCACTCCAGATGGCTTCTACATCAGCTACACCAAACCCAATAGAGAATGAAGCTTGGTCACATTTTATACTCAGTCAACAGGAGGCTAATTATCTTTTTCTTAATAAATGTTACGGAAGCCCTGAACCACAACGTAAAAAAAACCCCCAAAAATCTAGCATTTCGAGATTAAAGTCGAAACGTTTCGACTTTAATCTCGAAATGTTTCGACCTTAATCTCGAAATGCTAGATTTTTTTTCACATTGTGGTTCATTTTTTGTACCATTTTCTTTTTTTATATTAAAGTTGAAACGTTTCGAGTTTAAAGTAGAAACGTTTCGAGATTAAAGTAAAAAAAATTACGATAACAGTCTTCCATAGAAGTATGTGTATTCATAACAGGTAACAGGTCGGTGTAAAGAAATGCACTTGTGAAGTCGAACCGCCATGAATCAACACAAAATAGTAGCTTTTTACTTGTATCCTGTGATTTTCCTCAGATTTAATAACCACTAATGGTTGAGGAGAGAATATCTGATATGATTGTTGTAAAGCGCTTTGTGTTGGCCTAGTAGACATATGAAAACGCTATATAAATGCCTCATTCATTCATTCATAAAGCTGAATATCTCCATAGTCTGAAAAGTGTTTTCCGGGTTGGTTTTCCTATAGGCTAAAGAGTATTCTTGCGCAGTAGGCCTATATTTTATAACGTCCTATGCTGGTAGATTCGGCACCTGTTGAATTTCCTTTAAACAAAACACACACACAGTGTGAAACACTCGCTATGCACCATTATTAATGCCTGTGCGTGCGGCAATGTGAAACAATGGCAAGCACACACACAACTTGTACAGAAGACATTCTTGTACTCTCGAAATGTTTCGACTTTAATTTCGAAACGTTTCGACTTTAATCTAAAAAAAAGAAAATCTAGCATTTCGAGATTAAAGTCGAAACGGTTCAAGATTAAAGTCGAAACGTTTCGAGATTGAAGTCGAAACGTTTCGAGATTAAAGTTGCGAGATTAAATGCTAGATTTTTTTTTTTTTTTTACGTTGCAGTTCAGGGCTACCATACAATGTAATGACCCAGGCGTGCAAGTTACAGTACAGTAAATATTACTCCAATCAAGAGCTGATAATGCATACCACACCAGCATTACTACTCTAGGTGTAGATAAGCTAGTTTATGATCTAAAAAACAATGTGCAAAAACATCTAAAGCTACATGAGAACTATGTTCAAGTGTACCTAGGACAAAAGCTGTTTTAAACTCAAAAGTTGGTCATTTGTGGCTAAACATATTTGAATTTTTTTCCTGTCTGCTTCCTTTGGTGTCACAGCTCAGGATGTGGTGCCATCAGCCAATCAGCTTTGTCATGTGGCTCCAGAGTATGCAAAAGAGAAGCATTTCTTCTTTCATTCTTTCTTTCTATATGGTAAATTGACTTTCAACAGACCCATGGCCACCAAAGCGCTTTACATATTGCCTCGCATTCACCCATTCATACAACGACGGTGTATATACCGTCACTCATATGTACCTCTCCTCTATCCCTTTCTCCTCAACATACCACAGGCTATGTCACTTCCTTGTGCTGATTCTGCCATTTGCAGCTGTCTTCTGTGTCTCATGACCTCCACTGTTGAGCACTGATTTACAAGCCTGTCATTGTGTTGAGTGTTATTGACTGCTGTGGAGTTCAGATTGTCACTTGACTGCAGATGCATGATGTCCACTTTAGGAGCGATTTGCTAGGTGGATTCTTAAAAAATTGGATCCGCCTCCATTCGATCATTGACCAATGGAGGCCAGGGTTTAGTGTATAGCATGAGGGTTATAATGAGAAGAGGAGGAGGCTAAGGTGGCGTGTGTGTTGTGTGTGTGTTTGAAGGCAGGGAAACGGCGAGAAAGAAGCAATGAGAACATTCTCTCTGTGTGATAGTCATCCCAATCTCATTAAGCTCTGCGTTCCTTCCCGCTGTCCTCTCTGCAGCTTGAGTGAGTTAATGTGTATGCGTGCTGTAGCCAGAGGGAAGCTGCTGCTCTGCTGACAGGAGCCAGTACGAAGGCCTGTTCTTACACACACTGTGAATTACTCTGCGACTCTTTTCTCTCCTTTTATTCCTCCTCCTCTCGCTTTACTGCGCTCCACGACCTCACTGTACCAGATGAAAATGTCAGGAGAGGCAGAATCTCTGTCAAACGGGTAAGAACGGCACATAGCTGACAGCGTGCTATTGTGTGAATGTTTGTTTTTAGCAGTGATTCGAGACTATTTAAGAGGTTCTAACATGAGAATGCTTTTACAGGTTGCATAACCAGAAAAACAGGGAAGGTTTGGAAATATTAGACAGGTAATTGTTTTGGATGTCCTTGCTTTCAGAGCTGTCATTTGTTAAAGTGTAGAGCACAGCTTTTTGTGGTTGCTTGTTAGTGGGAGTGTTAGTCTCTTAGCACTGAGCATGTGCATGTATGTGTGTGTGTTCTAGAGTCAGCTTGTTTGTTCCAATCATTCCGGTAAGGATCATCAGTAGTCAATTAACCCCAGGCGGCATCAGCTTTTGAGAATCGCTTGGTGTCTGCACAATTAGTTTAAGCGCTATACAGATGGTACACGGAGAGCAACGGTTCATTTTACCTCTGTCGTAGCTTCTGAACAAATCACAGACCACTTCCTTTTGCTAGGCAAGCTCGATGTAGCATGCGCAGTTCTTTATTCATTCAAATCATCCTGCTCCGATATCACATATCAGCATCAGGGAGGAAATTCACTCTGTGTTCCTCCTTGCGAGGGTGATAAATGCAAAAAGGTGATTGTTGCAGACTTTAGTTTTACTTCAGAAAATATATCAGGGTTGATTTGACTTTTTTTTGGTCCAGTAGAAATGCAAAAAACTAATTGTTACAGACTTTTATTTAGTTTTAGTATAGTTTTTAGTTTTACGGTAGTAAAAAAGTCCAGTAAAAAATGCAAACAGCTGATTTTTACAGACTTTAGTTTAAGTAAATTATTTTTAGTTTTAGTTAGAAAGTCAATTCATGGTTGATTTGATTGTTTTTGGTCCAGTAAAAATCCAAAAAGCTGATTGTTACAGACTTTAATTTAGTTTTAGTAAATTACTTTTTAGTTTTAATAAAAAAAAGTCCAGTAAAAATTCTAAAAAGCTGATTGTTACAGACTTTAATTTAGTTTCAGTAAATTATTTTTAGTTTTAGTAAAAAAGTCAATTCAGGGTTGATTTGATTGTTTTTGGTCCAGTAAAAATGCAAAATGTCAGTTGTTAGAGCTTTAATTTAGTTTTTCTTCAGGAAATATCAGGGTTGATTTGATTTTTGTTTTTAGTCCAGTAAAAATGCAAAAAGTGGTTGTTTCTGGTGTTAGTTTAGTTTTACTTCAGGAAATATCAGGGTTGATTTGATTTTTGTTTTTTGGTCGAGTAAAAATGCAAAAAGCTGATCAGTCACAGTTGATTGACTTTAATTTAGTTTTTCTTCAGGGAATATCAGGATTGATTTGACTTTTTTGGTCCAGTAAAAATCCAAAAAGCTGATTGTTACAGACTTTAACTTAGTTTTACGTCAGGAACTTCTACCTTTTGGTCCAGTAAAATTCATTCTGCAGTGTAAGACCCTCTTTACATTCATTTTGGGCATTACACAGCACCCACATTTATATTTTATGTTTATATTAATGTGTGTGTATATATATATATATATATATATATATATATATATATACACACACACACACATTAATATAAACATAAAATATAAATGTGGGTGCTGAAAATAATAAAAAAAATTAATTGATATTATATATATATATATAATATCAATTATTTTTAGAAGTGAATGTAGCCATCACATCTTTATCATGCAGAGTATGAAAAATCTATGTAATCTTTTTCTAAAAATTACATTTAGGAGTGCTTTTAGACCATTTTATGGGAATGTTAAAAACAGAAAAGATGCAAATGTACAAAATGATAGTGAAAAAGAGCATGTACAGATGAACATCCAATGTAGAATTATGATCTCTAGCAGTGGTGCTGATGTATAATGCAGATCCCTGTGTAAAAAGTGAATTAGTACTGTGGCTTTTTAAGTTACATTAATCCACAACAAGACCAGCATTTGTTTAATGTACACCACCTGATTTAAAACTCACTGATTATTTCATGCTGTGGAAGTGTATAGGTTTGACATAGTTTGAGCAGGAAGCCATGCTCCATCAGCAGCAGGAGTCAACAGCATTGAAGTCATCTGCCAGCCGTTAGGAGGTGGAGAGGCCAATGAGAGAGGCTCGTGCCATCAGTCGCACTGCTATTGGGCGTGTGGATCGCATAAAGAGCGTCTCTGTGTGGGCTGCCGTTTGGAATGCAATGATTTTTTTACGTACTTTCAATTTCCAGATCATTTTTCCACTTAAAGAAATGCGCTGTGAATGGTTGTTTTCAGCAGAATTTTTCAGGGTGAAAGAACTATAAGAGATTGTTGGATTTCATTAGATTAGGATGCGCACTGTAATCTTACCAGGCCGAGGTCAGGACCATTACTAATTTCAACTCAATTTAGAAATGAATTTTGAATGGTGCTGTAATTTGAAGAATGTGTCCCTTATCCAGATATACAATGGGCTTTGATCTTAATAATTTCTGTGACATTTGCTTTCTAGTCATGTGTCTGAAGGAACACTGGAACTGATCTTGTTCGCTCATAAACGATGATTGTGTTTATTAGAAATGCTGATTGCTGAGAAATATTTTTTGGCATTAGTGCATCATATAAATAACATGTACATCATTACAACATTGTAAATATTTGATTGCTACTGCAGTGGTTATCAATGTTTATAGATTTATGTGAGCGTAATAGTTTGTTATATACACTGAAAAAAAAAAGTTTTACTGCCACCAAATCTTAGTGGACTATAAACTGCATTACTAATGGAGAAAATCAAGTCAAAATAAATAAAATGGATCCAAAGATGCTTTTAAACATAATGAAGACATTTTCATCATGAATGTAGGAAGCCCCTTAATGACCAAATGATAGTTTAAATCAAATGTGAAATCAATTTTTACTCCTCATTAAACTACTGTTTGAGTATTTAGTCTGAAATTATCATATGATTGTTGTTACTGTACATTATTTATGGGTAAAATTAGTTGGCAGGTCTGAAGTGCAGTAATGTCCGGGTAAAGGGATACTCCACTTTTTTTGGAATTAGGTTCATTTTATAACTCCCCCGGAGTTAAACAGTTGAGTTTTACCATTTTTGATCTCATTGACTTCCATAGTATATTTTTTTCCTACTATGGAAGTCAGTGAGACCAGAAACTGTCTGGTTACTGATATTCTTCTAAATATCAGAAAATTGGCTGAATACATTCGAAAACAGTAAAACTCAACTATTTAACTCTGGGGGAGTTATAAAATGAGCCTATTTCCAAAAAAAAAAGTGGAGTATCCCTTTAAGAGACATGTAACATTTTGACATGCGCTAATAGCTATATTTTCTTCAAAAGTTGTTAATTTAACATATGTGCAAAATTGAAATGTGACACCGTGTATATCCCTTGTGTTCAAGAGAAGAACAAAATTGTCACTTCCTGGGAAATTAGCATAAAACATCTAATAAAACTGGAAGCCACTGTGACTAATTTGTTTTGAATATCATAAATGACTTGCGTCTCAGAGAGTGCAGACGAAATGCAATAAACGCTGTCATTTCATCTTGTGTTTGGAGGCGGATGCCTGGTCTTATGGGAACAAAATCATGTGAGACAGTTCTGGTTGGCCATTATAGCCATCCATGTTGATGACTGACTTTAGATCAGGCGCATCAGAATGATCAAACCAACATTTGAGATGCGGTGCAATGAAATTTGTCCACAGGTTAGTCTAGTTATCCAATCACGTTCTCTGTGGAGGCAAAGTCACATGAGTTTTTTTGTTGTGCATTAAGATATTTATTCAATTTCTTATCAGATAAAAATCGCATCCACTTCAATCGTGCGCATATACGATTATTATAAATTACGCACATCTTCCATCCTGTATTTTTTTATGTGATTTCCCAAAATTCACAACAAAAAATAGGTGGATGGAAACATAGCTACTCTTTAAGCGCTATATATATATTTTTTAATGCATAAATTAATAGATGAGGACATAAATCTCACGTTCCCAGTGTTTTCTCAGTTGACACCAAACACACTCACTCACCTGTGCCTCCGTGCGTTTGAAGGTGACATCCGGCTCGCTGCACTTGTGTCTAAATTAAGAGGCTCTGGGGGGATTCTCTGCAGCAGAGGGCTGTGACTTCACACTCACATGAAACAGGCTTTATGGGGGCAGTGTGAGATTTTCTGCAGATGCTCAGAAAGGCCTGGACAGGAGCCTGAGCATCCTGTCCAAGATGACTCCTGATCACTACTTCCTTGAGCCGATTCACAAGCTGTTGTGTTGCCTCAGAGCACAATGGCCCTGTCCCAAATGGCATCCATTGTGTGTACTTAATCCTAGCCAGGAAATGAAATTTTTAGGAAATTCTAACTAGAACTTAAAAGTATTTATTTATTATTTGTTTTTACTTTAATTGCATTCAGACTGAGGCTTTGGAAAAGTAGCACTTGTTTATAAGCATTTTTCTTTCTGGATCTGTTTTAGGTCGGAGAGATCTGACCTGTCAGTGGCTCTTCAAGACTGCATGGAGGCACTGGATCTGTTCCTGAGAAATGAATTTGATGAGGCTCTGACCAGACTTAGAAGCAGGTAAAAGTTTCATAATTTTTATGTGATCTGTAATGATAATGGAGGTGGGAGAGGTTCTGGGTTTGGATCATTCCTCTGACTTTAGCAAAACACAATAAAGCTCTATTATTTCTTCTAGGTGCTTTTTGTGTGTATGGGTGTGCGGTATAGAAACCTTGGATTGTACAGTTTCATAATCCGTTTGAATCACTGTTCATAATCCATTTTTAATATTATGAAGTGTTTAACCTGTTTTGTATTTGGTTTCATGCATTGAGTGCATCTATTAATTCATGCTGAGTTGTTCTTATGCATCGCTTTGTGAGATGAGTCTTTGTCCAGTCAATCATTGGGTATTTCTCAGGTATAATCTCACATAACCCAAAACCAACTGAATCAGTTCAGCTCTCTTGAGATTCGCATCAAGCTCTTTTCTTCTCACTCCACACCCTGTTGTCATGAGTATGCTGTGTCTCAGACCATCTCATATTTCTGCCCTCTTCACTACTCGCAACTGTGGATGGGTGTGTGTGTGCTTATGTGTATTATAAACTACATAATTATTTGGTCCATTTTTGTAATCTTTGGCATCTTTCCATCTTTGTCCCCTGGGTCCCTCCACTTTTGTTGGGGTTGCATTCAGGGTCCACAAAAAAAAGAAAACCCTTTAAGCCACACCTGTGTGTGTGTGCGCGTGCTCATGATTATTGTATTAAAATAATTGAGGGTCGGAATATCATTCACTCTAAACAATGCTGGGTTGTTTTAACCCAAATTTGGGTCAAATATGGACAAACCCAAATGTTGGGTGTTAAATGTTGTTAACCCAACTTTCAGCTTTCACTTTCAACTGTACATTTTTTAATTGCATTTTTAACCCAACATTTGGGTTTGTTTATATTTGACCCACATTTGGGTTGAAACAACCCAGCATTTTTTAGAGTGTTCTTTACTAAAATTTACTTTAAACCATGTATAATATTGCAGCAACTTTCTGGTTACTCGCCAGAGGCAATTTTCTCTTGTCTTAATACTTGTCTTAAACTCACAAGTGCTAATTTTGGACCCTGCTGGTTATTAGTTCTGTTTTACATTTTCAGGTCAGGTCATCTGTCAGGTATTAGTTGGGCACATTCATGTGTACAATTCAAACTTATATAATACAACTATGATCCAGAATCCAGTGAAGTTGGGACATTTTTTTTTAAATGCAATAAAATCAAGAATCTGTGATTCCTTTCAACTTTATTCAACTGGCAAAAGTATAAAGTTAATATAAATATAAATACATCTGGAATACATACTCCAAAAAAGTTGGGACAAAGGCAAAATAAAAGAGAAATTCTTATAGAATATTCAAGTTATGGGGGACTTTAAGTTACGGCATGGGTGACTTGAAGGTACCATGGATGTGGAGGCATACATTGGGATTGTACAGTGACATATAATGGCATCAAGATGACATCTTTCCTGGGAAGCAAGACAATGCCAGGCCTTATCTGCATGTGCTAGAGAGGCTTGTAGACATGTGCTTGACTGCCTGCAGTCCAAATCTGTCTCCTATTGAAATATATGGTCCGTCATGAAAAGGACAATCAGGCAACGATGAACATGGACTTGTTAAGCAGCTGTCTCATATCAGATGTGATTGGGCGAAAAATTCACTTGCAAAACGGCAACAATTAGTATCCTAAATTCGTAAACTATTAAAAAGTGCATTTAAAAGGAACGGTGACGTGACACGGTGGAAAACACGGTGGAGTGTGTAGCCCCCATCACAATACAAATATGTTGTTCAGTGAAAACATTGAAAATCTTTTCTTTGTACTTTACCAGTCAGTTAAATAAAGTTGAAAGAGAATGAAAAAAATTATTTCATGCATTCTTTTTTTTTTATTTTTTTTTTTTTACAACTTTTCTGGATTTGGGGTTGTACATAAACATAGAAACGCTGATCAGCAAGGTATTGATTTGAACAATCAGAGGATCTCATTAAACCTTCTGCTGCTCACTGTTTGAACTTGCAAATAGTGAAGTCACAGTTTTGAGATTTACTTAATAGGTTTGTTTTAGACACGTCCCACCCCATTCCTGCCAGCAGGGCAGGGCCTCTACATGCACAGAGAAAATGAAAGGTACACGTGTAAGAGGGAAAGTAAGTAATAAGCAGAGGCAGAAAGAGAGATGAAGAAATGTTTGACTCAAAAGTAAAACTATCCATGTCTGTACAGGTTCAAAGTTGGAAAACAACTTTGCTGAGAGTGTTAGAGATGATCTTTCTGGCTACATTCACACAGTAGCTCTCCAACCACCATAAAATGAATGTGAACAGAACTCCGATTCATTCTCCAGTCTGACTTGGTGGAGTGTTTTGCAGGACATCTGATTTGACTTTGACAGGATAATAAAGATTACACCCTGGTCAGGAGTTTGTGATTCTGTATAGGAAAACAGCAACTGTAGACACAACAAGCTCAAACTCGATCCAAATCCCGATATTCGTTTGGATTTATTTGGTCTTGCAGCTTTTGCAGTACAATCTCAGTATTGTCTAATCCTGTTCCATGACACAAAGTTTGCCATATAAAAAATTGGAAAGGATTTTTCTTAGTATTCATTATGTGTATTGCCTTCATGGAATATTGTTATCTATATGTCCTGCAGTACGTAGAGTCATTAAATGATCAGAAAGCTTGCCTAAAATATTACAATATTGGTGTAGAAATGTATTCTTTGGTTAAAAAAATGTCAAATATGCTTCAATCCTGTAGTTGTCACATCAACATTATTCTAATTCTACCTCTGCAAAAAAGAAATAGTGGTAAACCTGTTTATCCAGACGTCACTGTACTCAGGAATGTTGGACCAGTAGTGTCACATTCTATCCTGTTCCTGAAAGAACTGAAATGCGCTGTAGAAAAAAGTCTCTGAATGGAGTTTAACTGCTGCCTAGAATTATATAAAAAGGTGCAATTAATTAAAGTGCTATTTTGACCTTTTTGAATTAAATGACAGATATTATTAAATTGTTAAATAAACAGAATACTGCATCCTTTTGTTTTGACAGCTAGTATTTCTCTGTAAGTTCATATTGTCATTAGTATTATGGTGTTAAATGGATACTCCACTTTTTTGGAAATAGGCTCATTTTACAACTCCCCCAGAGTTGAACAATTGAGTTTTACCGTTTTCGAATCCATTCAGCCGATGTTCTGATGTTTAGAAGAATATCAGTAACCAGACAGTTTCTGGTCTCATTGGTCTCAAATGAGCCTATTTCCACAAAAGTGGAGTATGCCTTTAAGACTGGTCAGGATACATAAACACTTTTCCCCCATTTCCATGCTGTTATTGATGTCGATATTAAGTGTTTCAGAGGTGAATTTTCTTTCACCGTCACCTAGACACACCCTTTCCATTGTTCTATATATAGATCTAATGCAACTTCTTCCTTTGTGTTCTTTGAAAGGAATAAAGAAAGCATGTACCACGCGCTTACATATGCCACTATACTGGAAATGCAGGCCATGATGACCTTCGAACCGGAGGACATCTTGACTGCAGGAAACACAATGAAAGAGGCACAGGCTGTGTGTCAACGGTGTGTTATCCTATTTTAACTGTCTATCTGTTTGGTCATGTTTGAATAAAAATGTTGCTATAGTCATAAGAGAGTTATCAGGAAGGTGTCTACATTGGGCTTGCTATTAGCATCTATACACTATTTTCAGGTTCATCTCGGTTATGTCACATTTGTATAGGTGACGTAATCCTGAATGCTGCAGGTCTAGGGCTATTACCATATCCCAGATGGCAGAGGAATTTCAGAGATCCACGACACACTGTGTTAGAGGGGTGTGCTGTGTGCTTGTGTATTCAGGCAACTCATACACCCTCTGTGACTCTGCCACGTCACCTCGTAGCACTGATCAGCTGATCACACACAAACTCATAGCTGCTCTTCAACTTTTCCCACATCAATTACACTGTCTGGTCCAAATAATGGCCGCCACGTATGCAGGATTGGAAATCAGTTCTGTCACAATATCAGTCCTCCTCACTCATAATATCGAATGGTATTTAAAATACCATTGCCACCTAAAACCCGAAGTCCAAACTCCTTAATTTAAATCCATTAGGGCAAGAAAGAAGGGGATTGGGATCAGTTCACAACACAAACCTGATTTTAACCTGCATTTCCCACATTAGCACCACAGACCAACACGTTTGAGGCTTGTGCGCTAATTGCTAGGCTACAGCTAACACATGATTAGAACCATTTTATCACTTCCTTCACATTTGACTAGATCTGATTACAAGATTAGGAGCCATAAAACAGGTTGCTATGCTATTTTTCCACAAACTCTGATCTATGTACACTACTTTATACACTACACTTTATAGGCCTACACTTGTTTATACACTACTTAAAATCTGCAGTTTAAAGGGCATGTATACACCACTGTTTCTGTCGTACTTTTCCAGATGAAAATACATCTTTAGGTGGAAGAATCAGATTTATTGCCAAGTATTTGGTGAAGCTTATAGTAAACAGGGGGGAAACAGAATTAAAAAAATTAGACGGATAAAATAAGTCAATAAAAAAAGATGTATATACTGTCTAAAGTGTGGAACAATTAAGATTTTTCTAATCTTTTTAAAATAAGTCTTTTATGTTCACCAAGGATGCATTTACTTTCCCCAAAAAAAATAGTACACAATAGACAAGATAGAGTAAATATTGATGTACAAAATTTATATACTGAAGCAATTATGCGCTGTTAATACTTAATACTTTGCTGTTCATTATGTAAATGTCCTCGGGGAAGAAACTTTTTTTAGTGCCTGACCATTCTGATGCTCAGTGGCTGTCACGTGAGTGATAAAGAGTGACTTCTGTATTTCATAAATGCACAGACCTAATGTTCCCACTTTTAAATGTGGTTGTCACTCACAAGACTTTGTAGGGTGTACGTGGCCGGTGTCTTTTTATTTTTTTTGTGTGTGAATTAAATAGAAGCCAAACTGACACAGTATATAATTCCTGTTTGTTCCTCAGCGGGGTGTCGGTTTACTCAGACAGAAAACAGACAGACATTGTGTCCCCCTTAGATCCAATCCAACTGCTCTGTTTATATGGCCTGAGGGAAATAAAGAAATAAACTATGAATCAAGCCTGACAAGGATGTGTTTGTCATTACAGATACCGTAAGAAATCATCTTTCAACAGCAAAAACTTCACAGAAGGTGGGTGCCTGCATAAATAAATCACTAAATGATTCATTGGCATACTCTTGAGTCTTTATACAATCACTACCTCAAACTATAGGGACCATATCATGTGGCTGTTTTTTTTTTTTTTTTTTTTTTTTTTTTTTTTTAAAGACCATGTGACATTCATACTCTCACCACCATTTAGTCTGAAAGCATAATTTCGTTTGTGTCCTCCCCAGAGGAGCTCCATGCTGAAGTGTGCTATGCCGAATGCCTCCTCCAGAGGGCGGCGCTCACTTTCCTTCAGGTCTGTCCTCGTGGTTGATTTCCTGTTGTTAGTTATTATGTGAGTGAAACATAATATTGTGCATAAAGTTGCTTATCTAAGATGTACTGCTTCTTTCAGGATGAAAATATGATCAGCTTCATAAAGGGAGGAATGAAAGTGAGGAACAGCTATCAAATATACAAGTAAGACCTGCTGCAGTGTTGTTGTTCATTTGGTAATTAAAATGAAGAAATAAAATACAAGTGTTTAATAATAAAGTTTAAAGACTGACATTTTTGAAAATAAAGATAATCAAAGCTAAATATAAAAAAACTAATGCCAAGAAAAATGACAAAAAATACAATACAAAATAATTAAAACTGAAAATTATAAAAATAAAGGCAAATTCAAAATATGAATAAATACTATAATGTTGTATAAATAATATTAAAATAACATTGACCTGTGAAGTAACACTTATTCCTCTTTCCCTCTCATTTAATGTCTATGAGCTTTTATTACAGCTGAATTATTGAACTTAAATATAAAATATTATTTTAATAACATATATTATTATTATTTCGTTCTTTTTTATTACAAATTATCATATATTATTGTTTTATCAAACTTTTATTAAATAATAAAATAAAAACAACAATGTTACTACTAATAATACTACTAATAAAATGGTTTCAAGTTTTCATGTAAGCATATCTGTATATGTCTATTTATATGGATTTGTGTTTAAATATCGTTTCATTGCAAGGGAGCTACATACAGTCCTGAAGTCCCCAGGCTATGTTCCCGCTGACAATCATGGTCATTTTGAGGGAGGCGTTAAGCTTGGGGTCGGGGCCTTTAACCTGGTGAGTGCGTTATGTCATGTGTTTTCTTGTGCCTTAGACTTAAAAGGCATCCTATTGTTCCCTCTTAAATCAAACCATGACCGTATATGAATCCTAGCATTGAGTTTATTGAGGACAAGGCTGTTTTCTCAACCCCTCACCTGTGTTTTTCCCAGATGCTGTCGTTGTTGCCAACACGGACTCTCAGGTTGTTGGAATTTGTGGGCTTCTCTGGTAACAAAGTGAGTATTGTGTAGTGCTAAGCTTAGTTTGGCCCTGCTCACGTTTGGCGTGTACAAATGAAATTTAATCTGAGCTCTTTTTTTCTTTCTGACTGTCTTAGCAATAAAGCGTGTCGAGGTGTTTTTATACACTATAAAAAGTGGTAACCTACCATTGTTACCTTAAAGAGTTCTTTCTACCTGATTTAACCCATAAAGACTAGTTTTGTTGGTATATACTAGTTAATTTAAATGTTACCATTTTGACTTGTTTAAATGTAGTGAAGCATGGGAAGTGTGGATGATTTCCTGTTTGAAATTTCTGTCTTAACCATGTTGGTTTATTTTACAATTCACACTGTGTGTGTGTGTGTGTTATAGGAGTTTGGTCTTGAGCAGCTCCTGGAGGGCTCCACTGAGCACACGTTTAGGTCTTTCCTGTGTAACATGTTGTTGCTTTGCTACCACACCTTCATGAGCTTCATTCTGGGTAAGACAAAATTGCTTATCACATGTACAAATCATATGTAGCATATCAAAAGTAAGTTACTGTGTTTTTCTGTGCCACCTTATCTGTCCTTTAGGCACTGGAGAGGGAGATGTGGTAGATGCAGAAAAACTGCTACAGCCTTATCTTATAAAGTATCCGAAGGTACATACTTGACTTTATTTTAATAAAAACAACAGATTTTTCAGTGAAAAAGCCAAACACACTAAAAAGAACAAAAACACAAACAGCTTTTTCAACCAGACTGCAGCTGAAAAATATTCATGTCATTAATGACAATAAAAACTATTTAATTTTGTTATATGATAAGTATCTACATCTGCTTTTGTCAGGGATCCATTTTCCTGTTCTTCGCTGGTCGAATTGAGGAAATTAAAGGAAATCTGGATGCTGTAAGTGATTGTTACTCTCATGCAAAGTCTTGATTTGTATCAATTTATATTTTATTTCTCTTGGCTATATGCATGTGTTCATATGCATGTTCTTGTCCTGCAGGCTATTAAGCGTTTCGAGGAATGCTGTGAAGCTCAGCAGAATTGGAAGCAGTTCCATCACATGTGTTATTGGGAACTGATGTGGTGCTTCACTTATAAGAGGCACTGGAAGATGGCCTACTTCTACGCAGACCTGCTCAGCAAAGAGAACACTTGGTCTAAGGTAAGACCCTAAAATATACAGCTGACTGATGCACTGAACAGATACTTAACTAGGGAGAGTTTGCTTGATCTGTTTGATATTCAAAATTGAATGGGTAAACACTTTTTAATTGGAATAAATTTGAATTAGAAAACATGATGTAGAATTTAAATACGTCAAATATGTATGTATATGTGTAACCAATTATATTAAATAAAATTGAAGAGTTTAAAAAAGCTCTGCTGATACAACATGAATGGAGACTGAGGACAATTAATCTACCGCCGGGATGGTTGTGTTTACTGTGCAGTTTGGAACTCATCGCTCTTTTTTTTTTTTTTTTCCTCTCTCACACACTTTTTTCAGGCCACATATGCGTATATGAAAGGTGCTTACCTCAGCATGCTGAGTCGTGAGGAATGCCAGCCGTTCCCGGAGAACGAGGTGGCTTTGTTTAGGTAATGGCAAGGGAATCGTGTCTATGAGCCTGTATGTCGTATATGTTCGTGTTTTGCACTTTTGTTCATAAGGGGATGTAATAACATAATTAAATGCAAATCTATAAATCAGATAACATGACTATCAGATCAGGAAAAGCTAATTATCTATATACATTCATTCAGTTCAAGCAAGCATTGCAAATTACCTTTATTTTTGATCTCATATTTAATTTGAACCTCTCATGTAGCCCATCCACTATAAATTGACATTATATAATACAAACTGTGATCTGTTTTGCTTTTTTTCAGGCAAGTTCCCAGTCTGAAGCAGAAAATAGCAGGGAAGTCATTGCCCACAGAGAAGTTTGCCATCAGAAAAGCTCGACGCTATAATACAGATAACGCCATTCCTCTTCCTGCACCTCCATTGGTCAGTGTTCAATGTTATATGGATTCTATTGTCTGTATTTATTTGATATTGTCTCCAAGTGTTTTATTTAAATTCACACAGGATGTGTTCTTGCATCTTTGACCAGCTATATCTATTAATAGACACGGTAGTTCCTTAAAAATGAATTCAAAGACAATGCTACAACAAACATAATGAAATGACCCTTCCCAATAGATTTAAATAGATTATGCTTTACAATGAGAGTTAAATATGGCTATTTATCTGTTCAATAAAACACCTTACTCACCAGTTGAGTAATAAAAAAGCCATCTCCACGTCACTTTTACAACATTTGAAATCCCTCAGTTCTCTCCATCTCTGAAAAGCCAAGCCAGTGTTGATTCTCATTTTATTACGAGCTCTGTTGCCAGTAGACTCTAGTCTATTCAGTGTTTTTTAACACTGGTTCAAGATTTAGCATGCTCCATATCAACTTTTTTGCTCATTATGACAACTCGCCAACCCCACACCGTACATGCTTCAAAGTAGCCAGAGCAACTCTTCTCTATTTACTTGCACGGGTGAGTGACGTATGTTTGCAATTTCCCAGGAAAATCATCCCGCTAGGTCTAAAATATAAACACTTATAATAGACTTACCATAGTGCATCAAGGTAAGACAAAAACACGGATTTTGGATTGACTCATGATGTATTGAATCATTATTTAATTTTTTTTTCATTTTAGAACAAACAAATGACGTACTTAACCTTTAAAAAACGACAAAACAAGCATGAAAATAAGCTAAAACGACTAAAAATCAAGATATTTCTTCTTATTAGGTTATTTTTATAACAAATAAACATCTTTCTAGGTAAGCCAAGCTCTAAAATATTTTATTGGTTTGAAATTGTGAGTGAGGGGGGGCCTTCAAATATTGTTGACAGTGAGGGAGTCAGTCAAAAAGTTTAAGATCACCATTCAGTTTATTTTGTTTTTTATCATGTACTGTACATATGCAGGGTTGTACTGTGTTCTATTTTGCTATTTTTTAATGCTAGAAGACGTCCTGTGTGAACGGCCCTTAAATTAACAGAGTAAGGAATTAGACCATCCTGACTAACACAGTATAAACAAGGGGAAGCACCTGCAGTCTTAGATTCTCACTCATTGTGTGGGTATGTTTACACGACAGGAGATGATGTATATCTGGAATGGCTACACTGTGATTGGGAAGCACAAGGACCTGACTGAGGGCATGCTGAAGACCCTGGAGGAGGCTCAGCAGATGCTTGAGCAATATCCAAGTAAAAACCCCTCCACGCAGTGCAATACTGCTTATGCCGTTGTCCACTTTTAAAATAATAGTACACCTACAAATAATGTAATTATTTATTCCCTCATGTAATGATATTTTTGATTATAAAGAATTTAAAAATCAATACACAACTCTTGCATGCAACCACAATTCACAATGACCATGTGCATCAAAAGTAATAGTGTGTTCCACCGAAGAAGGAAATGTATTCTTTGTATTCACAATTAACTTGTTTTGTGATATAAATACCTCTGTGTGTTTGCTCTCAGGGTCTGAGTTCACCACAGATGACCAGTGTGTGGTTAGTCTGCTTAAGGGGCTCTGTCTCAAACACTTGGGTTACAAGGAGGAAGCGGAACATTACTTCACCCTTATCCTCTGCAAGTCAGTCTTGCTCTTTTGCTTTACAACAAATCACAGTAAAATGAATAGAAGTGTTTGTGGTTTCCCTTATGAAGACTTAAGTAGACAAGCAGACACTGATTTTCTGGTACTAACTCTACAGACTTATATTAAACATCCAGTAATATCAAGCTGGTAGAGTCTGACTGGTAAAATGATGTGTTCTGTGAGTGAGTTAAAGTGCCTCTGATGCTATTTTAAACATCCATAAATCTGGAAATATGCAAATTTGCCACAAACCTACGCAGATATGTTATGGAAGTGAGACTGGAATTGCTGAGGACTCGTTTCAGCATTTCAAAATTAATTATTTCTTTTAGGAGACAACAACTTTATTTGTCTTTCACTTTGATCTTTAAAACTTTGCAGACCTTTTACATTCACACACAGCTAAGGTAATAAGTGAAAAAGCTAAATAGGGGCACTTTAATCTCCAGAGAGTCACAGATAATATAGAAAATGATTCCACTTTTGTAAAAAAAAAAATGTCTTGGGTCAATGTAAATTTTCTTATTCTGTCTGTCTACTGATGTTTATACTTGTACAGTGAGAGTCTGATTAAATATGACCACTACCTGGTGCCCAATGCTCTTCTGGAACATGGTTTGCTGTGTTTGGAGGAGGGCAGAACAGAGGAGGCCATCAAACTACTGGAGACAGCCAAGTAGGTTCTGTCTATTATAACACCCTAAAAAATGCTGGGTTGTTTTAACCCAATTTTGGGTCAAATATGGACAAACCCGAAATGTTGGGTTAAAAATGTAATGTAAAAATTTAACCCAACGGCTGGGTTAGTCCATATTTGACCCAAAGTTGGGTTAAAACAACCCAGCATTTTTTAGAGTGAACTATAGGCTACCTCTTAAATAACAATGTAGACAATGTGTGTATGGATGGGGGTATTTGCCACAGATTTGCCACTTAATAAACGCTAAAAATAGCAGTTTTCTATTATCCTCAAATTGATTCATGGCTATACTGCTCAAAACAAATCATGTTTATACCTTTCGCCGTTGCTATTTTAATATGTAATAATAATTTCATTTATTTTATTACTTTTAGTGTTAATAATAATTTCGATATGTCATTTAATTTAAAATAAAGTAATTAACACTCCTATTTAGTGTTAGAAAGTAGTATTTTTTTTACAGATAGTTTAATATGGTTCATTTATGCATTGTTGTGAATGTTTCCTGGTGAAATAAAACCCAACTCAAATTCAAAACCCTCAAATATTTTTTAGTTCTTAAAAAAAGGGACCAAGCCAAAAATTGTTTTAATGGTCTTAACCATTTGAATCACAAATCACTGGTCAGGAAATTAACAAGAATTGCACAAATACCGTAGATAAAGTAACTTTGCACGGAATAGCCTTCCCCAACTTACAGACAGCTATTTGCAGAAAGAACCAGTATTGTTCCACTCAATGTTAATGGCTTTAGTTCAAACAGTTCATGAGTAGTTTATTATAATATTTCTCACCAGATTTTCAAAGATACAAGAGGAGATGCAACTCCTGTTTCATTGCGATTCATCACTCCATACACAAATTCCCATATTCTGCCAAAAGTGCATTTGGTTAAATTCTGCTATAATAATAATAATCATTTCCTTTCTAATTATTCTTGGTTAAGATAATTTGGCTGTGGGGGCACAAAAGTCATATATTCCACCATGAAACACTCAGTCATTGGCTTATGAGTATTGAACACTATTAACAATGATTTCTTTGGCAGGCAAAATTACAAGAACTATTCCATGGAATCACGGACACACTTCCGGATCCAGGCAGCACTACATAAGGCCCGAGGCACAGCTGTGAATGGAGACTGCTCACCCTCCAGCCCTTAACTGTTGAGGTCACCGCTGGGGTCATAGAAAGCCAAAATCAGGCTTGATGTGGGTTGCCAAATGCCAAGAGGAGAACTAAAAGTGTACATGACCAATCAGACCCAATCAGAGTTTATAGTGACAACAAGTTAGCTTCATTTAATGACGCACACAATTTAAGGACAACAGCTGCATGAATATGTTTTGTGAGGCAGTGCAGTTCAGTCGAGACACAGAAATGACATCATGCTTTTATGATGTCATATAAATAACATTGTGCTAGAATTTTAAATGTACCATTAATAATAATGATGATAATATTAATATAATACAAGTTATGCCAGTCCAATAGGATTATATTGGTGCAGCAAGCTAAGAACATTGTGAACTCGAGTAAGGCCATCCGTCAATCATTTTATGGCTGCTTTCAGACCTCTTTTAGGTAATTCTCTTTACTATTGGTCACCCTGTGACATCAATAGCTAGACATGGCTGTGCCTTACGGCTAAGCGATTTATTTGGATTTAAAGCACGTGCAGAAATATTAGTTTCCTTTAATCTTTGGATTTTAAATAGGTTATGAAATAAACCTATTGTCCAGAGGTGATTTGATGAACTTAAGGTTCGATATCATGCGTTACTCTTTGGATCGAGTACTGTGGCCTTGTCAAATCTCACGGACAGGATTCCTTTTCTAAGCTTTTTTTTTTTTTTTATCATATAGCATTGTCATTGTCTTTCTGTGTATATAATTAGTCTGTTTTAGCAATGTGTTTTAAAAAAGAGAGAAAACAAGCATCTTCACAACAGCATAAAATGGCTGTTAGAATGTAAACTGGAAGTTTTGGGGGTTTAGTCAGCTATTTCTTTTTTAGTATTTATTCACTATGATGGCGCCTTTCAAAATGTCCCGTTTTAAGTGGGCAGCTGAATGTGTCTTTTAGAAAGGCAGTCTCCTTCATGTGGACTTGTTCCAGATCGTACTTGAGCTCAAACAAACAAGGCTTTTAGATACATGCAAGACAGGCTGGCATGCCAGCTCCAGTCAATATGAGGGATGCATTGACAACCACTACAGCTATACTCTACACACAGAGAAAGAAAATTTGAGCTGGTTCAGGACAGAGGATTGTACTTTGTTCATGTTTGTACTTTGTTGTATGAATGCTACTTCATGGAGCTTTTCCCCATTGTGCTGAGTTCAACCAACTAAACACAGCTTGTATTGTTGTTGTCAAGTACAGCAAGGATTGTGTTTTATATTGAATTAGCCCAGATTAGTTTTAAAAGTGTCCATGGATGGATTTTTGCTCTTCTGCAATGTAATCTTTATAGTGCCTGTTTTATGAGATCCATCCAGTTCTACCAAAGTCAAACTTGCATTAAGCAAAAACAATCATGTGCTCATGTTGCTCAAAAATGTCACAGACTACTTGCAACATGCCATGTTTCAAGTGTGGTAAACATGTAATGATGTATGGGGTTTTCATTGCAATTGCTATTGTTTCTCCCTAATTGAACATTTTTATTGATTTAGATTTTACAGACTTTGGGCTATAGAGGTCAGCAAATCCTGTATGTGGTGCATGGCTACTGTGTAAACGCATTCCTGTAAATACTGGACTTACTTTTTTTATTTAAAATTAAATGATATAATAGCATTCACAAAACATCTTTGTTTTCCTTCTTTGAACTATGGAGACTTGCCTTTTCAAAGAGATGGACAAAAATTGACATTCTGTCCTAGTTGAATTTCTTCAAAACACACAACACAAAAGGAGATGTATGGGAGAGTGAGCCTCAGTCACTTTCATTGTATGGAGAGAAAAAAATGCAATACTATACACGTGTATATGACCTAAATAATATTAAATGTTTAATTATTAAAGGGATAGTTCGCTCGAAAATGAAATAACCACTCATTTACACCAGGTATTTCATGTAAATTCATATTGTTGAATATGCTGTATGATTTTATTTTTCGCTGGAGCACAAAAGGAGATACGCAGTATGTATTTTAATCTTATTTTATCTTTGCTGCTGACCTTTGATTATCAAATTCAACCATAATAGTCAAAAATTGCTTAAGACAAAAATCACATAAAATAAGTAAACTTTTTTATTTTTTATATATATTTTTATTTTTGTAAAAAGATATATTTTTTTTATATCTTTTTTATTTTAAAAATAAAATAAAAGCCTGAAGAGGCTGCTTCCCAAATCACATACTCTCAAGTAGGTAATATGTTTGAATATGCAATTAATTCGCAATTGCTAAAAAAAAGTATGTTCTGTATTGGATGCGTGGAGTATGAATGAATGTAATTCGGATTTGCTACATTCACAGTGTTGCCATTATCATGTAACCTACCATTAACGAATTGCTTTTAAAAGTAACTTTCCCCCTTACTATTTATTTCAACCTATTACTACCAATGCAAGTGAATAGTGAAGGGAATATTTTGTTTGTTTGTTTGTTTGTTTTTTCTTCCACGAAAAAAGTAAAGTCATGCATTTTCACTACAATATGAGGTTAAGTAATAATGACAGCATTTTTTATTTCGAGTGAAATATGCCTTTAAAGCGGCCTAATGCGGTCAAGTTTACAGGCTTTAAAACCCCTTGTTGTTGGTGTTCTAAGGCGACAATATGATTGGGTGACGAATAACCACTAATAACCTCTTTACCAAAGAAGAACCCCGCTGATTGGTCCATACAGCTTGGAGGCGGAACTTAAAGTGACTGCCTGAAAGGCAACATTGCCTGAGTCGCCATTGAGAGCGAGCGCATATTTGATATTGTAGAAATTATTCGTTGTGGGTTAACCAGTGTTTACGGTTGAGACGAAGAGAAAAGGACAACACTACATAACACGGGTTTAGGGCAAATATACGTATTTGACAGGGTTAAACTGTGTGTGTTTGTAAAAGCATCGTTTCATATCCGTGTATAACACTTTTTTTCCAGGGTTCTTTGTGTGTCGACAATGGTTTGTTTTTCTCCGTCAGGATCTCTAATGGTGATCGGATCATTTTAAATGAATGATAGACGTTTAGTCGTTCTGTTTAAAAGGACAGAAGTCTGGTTCGAGTGATTAAGGGCGCACGGGAAGAGATACAGGCAGGATTTCAACATTTAGATAACAAGGAGTTTGGAAAGGAGATGGGGAATTGTCTGAAATCTCCCACTTCGGATGATATCTCCTTGCTCCACGAATCACAGTCAGACAGGGCCAGTTTCGGTGACGCCAACGATCCGGATCAGGAACCGCCACCTCCATATCAGGTAAGCTTATGAAAAACCTTTGGAATAAACAAAGAAACTTTCCTTTCGGCTCGCACCTTTCTCATGCACGCTCCTGCTTTTTAATATAAACATTCACACTGCTATACTGATAATGTGAAATATCAAATGCACTCTAAATATATTGATATGTTATCTATGTAACACCAGCCTGCAGCGGGAGCTCCATCTGTTTTTTTTCGCTCTAGACAGTGTGCCATACTAAATCCTCTTTGTTCGACATAAACTTGGCCTACAATTCCCGTCAGAGCGTCCAAACAGATGTACAGCCTGTCATTTCATCTTTACTGCTGCCTCCGTGGCGTGTTGATTCACCAGCGCCAGCTTTATTGCGACAAAGTAACAATTCTAATTGTGACGCTCTTTGTTTGTAATTGTGACGTCATTGCGATGTTGTTCTCCCGGGTAGTGTTCCTCAACCCATTTGTATCATTTTTTTAGTGGCCCACTCAAAATTATAAAAAATAAATAATCTATAAGCAGTTTTATATGCATTTTAATTGAAATCTTGCCACATACCCTTGTTGTACACACACCCCTGGTTTGGGTCTCTCTGTACTAGGGCAACCTAGCTGATTTCTCTGCAAACTTCCATAGGGGCTGCAAGATGGATTAAAATATTTCAAATAAGATAATGAGTCAGCCAACATTGTTCTGCATTGAGTCAAAAGGGTTGGGAACCATTGTTTTGGGGGGGTTTTCCACATTGAAATCAGTTCAAGTCATGAGATCATGCCGTTTAAAATAATGTCATGTTTCATATTACTTAGTTTAAATGGAATGCATTCATCACATGTCAACACGTTTTAACTTCTATGGGAACTGGGTTTGACTGGATGTCTTTGTGAAGGGCGATGCAAGGCACATTGACTAATAATCGTGTAAACACTGCCATATAAGCAAACATTTGATGTACTGTGTGTTTTTTAAGAAGGTTTATAATGTTTGTGCATTAACCTGAGCAGATGTCTGAGCTCTGTTGTATTTTAGTCAGTTTTCACCCTGTGGTGGCTGTTACATCCTCTTTGTTGTGTATTGATCTTATCTGTTGTACAAAAAATACCAACATTGTGCTTCCCCATTAGCAAATCGCCATCGACCCATCAGGTCCTCAACTATTGCGATATAACCGTTATAAATCTTCTTATGCAAAACCTTCCTCCAGAGGTTTAGAACTTCCTCTCCAATCTTGGTTTCAATTTTGGCTGGATTATCTAGATGATGATTGGCACAGAGTGGAAGCAACTAGCCAATGAAAGCAGAAGGTGGGACGTTTTGTGCTGTGCTCCTTGCGCTTTTCAGCTATACTAACAGCGTTCTACCACATAGTCGTCTATAAGTTGTCTGGGCCAGGAGATTGACTCAGAGAATCAGAGTTTATAAAGTAACTTGTATGTACACACAGGTTTATAAAACATTTCTAGGTAGTGTTTACATGTACAATGATTGCAGAAGAGTTATCAGACCTGTTTTCTTACAGTTTCCACTTGCATCTCACACCCTTAAAATGAACATTCTTTATTGGCACTTATGGTTTCATGAAGAACCTTTAACATCCATAAAACCTTTCCACTGCACAAGTGAAAAATGTTCTTTGGATTATTCAAAATAATAATAACATAACTGTCAAACCTCTTTTTGACACTTTTATTTTTTTAAGTGTAGACTTCTAGTGATTATCTCTTCCAGTGGCTGCTGCTTTATTTTCTATGATAATTATTTATATGCACTCCTCCATACAATGAACTCATATGTTATATGGGGAGAAAATATAGCATCCATTTTTTTTTTTAAAGCAAATCTCTCATGTCATCTCCAGAGCTGAAATGCAAACTTAAAAGGTTAAATGTGCCACTAATATCTTGTGTTACTGGGCTGTGTCTTTCAAGAAGACGCACCTTTCTGCTGAACACCAGCAAAAACCATGCTCGGCTTTCTGTTTTGTAAAGTTATTGAGTCTCTTGGGTGCAAGATCAGACAAGGGTGTGAAAAAAAGAGCAAAAGAAGACAGCGCTGTGCTGAATTCACCCAGCGTTTGTTAACGCCGCTGCTGCTCAGTGCAATATTCGATGGCACGCTTCGGCCTATTGTCGGAATGCTGGACAGACAGGAGGTCTGTTTGCACAGCCCCCTTGAGAACCCAAATCATTCCCAATCTCAGCACATTTTTGCGTCGCCTGCCAAGAATGCTTGACGTTTTTTCCCTCAGAGTCTCAGGCAGGGAGCTAGAATGGGCTGCCTATGTCTCGAGTATGTACAGAATCTGTTCTGCTTATTTTTTTAAGCTATAAAGGGTTCTTAAGTGTGCAGTAGTAAATGGTTTTAAATGCCATTTTAAAGGCCTCATTCATAAGCCTTCAAAACTTGCAAGAATACTTGCACAAACACAGCGAAGCCATCCAAGTCGTGATATGCTAGATAGATAGTTGACCCAAAAATTTAAATTTTATCATAATTTTTTCACCTTTGTGTCGTTCCAAACCTGTATGACTTCAGATATAATATTTTAACTTGTTTTATCCACACAATGAAAGACATTAGGGTCTGAAATAACATTGGACCCAAGTAACTTTAATTGTATGGACAAAAAACACAGAGATATTTCAAAATAACTGGTCTGGTCCACAGAAGAAAGTAAGTCATAAAGGTTTGAAATGGTATGCGGTTGAATAAATAATGACAGAGCTTTCATTTTGATGGTGAACTTCAAGGTTTCTCTCATTATATGCCACATTAACTGTGTGCAGAAAAAGAGAACTATGTGTTTGAAGTCAGAAAATGAAGCGACAATGTTAGCACAGATAACCAAATTTTTTTTTTTTTTTTTTAAGCTGGTCTAACAATTCATATTTGCACTCTAGAAGATTTAGTACATTTACATTTTACAATATCATACTTTATTTTATGCATGGAAAAAAATGAAATGCCTTCGTTTCAAAGTAGTATCAAAACTTTGGACCCCATTGAACGTCAAAGAATATACATATATATGCTTTTGGAAGACGTTTCTAATGCTCACCAGGTCAGTTTTCATTTGATAAAATAATGGAAAATTGAAATATTCCAATATAAATATTATTTCAAACATTATATAAACATTTCTTATAATTATCAATGTTGAAAACGTCTATACTGCTTAATTTTTTGAGTAATCTGAGTTCATATTATTTTTAACATTTATAAATTGTCTTTACTCTCACTTTTGATTTCAATTTCTCTTGAACGATTAAGTATATTTATTTAGATTTTCCATTAAACATTTCCATTTGGGTTTTCTTTAGCAGTTGATATCTTATCAAAGCTCTCATGGTTCCTGGCTTTCTTTAGCTGCTGTGTTAAGAAGCATTAGCACAATTGTGTAAGGAGCTCAGTAGAGTTAGCCTAGTTTCACACCCTCTGTCTCAGACAGAGACTAACCCGATGAGAAAGGCTCTATTTCAGAATAACAGCTGGATCCACTCTGGTCTGTGTGACTGAACAGTAAATACGGTTTACAAACTAAAGCTAACCTGTTGGTGTTTTGGTGCGTCTGATTGAAACGGGAACTAGTGAACCTGAGGGAGTGATGAAGAGACATGTAAAATGAGGTCTTCCTTGTAGTTTGGAAAGCAGCTGACCGCATTTGCTGACTCATGCGTGTGGGGCTTGACATGGTGAGATAAGCACGTCTGTGAGAGAGAAAGACTATGCAGGAGCCAACTGGAGAAATCATGGAGATTTCCTTTAGCCTAAAAAGTGTTGTGGTTTTTACACTGCTCGCTCACTCATCAATTGATTCTCTGTTTATCATGCTGTAGCATGAGCTAGCCAGATGCTTTCTCTGCCCTCTGACATGGCTCACGTCACATAGCAGCCTGACAGATCATCTTAAGTGGACATCCAAAGTCCTTACCCTCACTTTACCTCTCTCACTTGGCACACACTTTTTTTTTTAAAGCTATGGACTCTTTGGGCCCTGTATCTTTCAGATAATCCTTCATAAACATTTCCACCATGATGCATTGTGTTTAATAGCATGATGTGTAAATTATTTATATCATGTTGGAAATAACATTTGAAACATAATTTTTTTGGGATAAAATGGCAGACTGTTTTGTCTTGCAAAGTCTAATTTTGTAGTTAGCATTATATGCATCACGATAAAATGTTTTCACACTTTTGCAGAATTGATTGACACAGTAAAAATATTGTTCATTAGTGGTATTTACATATTATTATTATTATTTTTTAATATTGCAGTCTCTGGACTGATATATTTGTCTCCTGGGTAACTAATTACACTATCTTTTGAAAAAATGTGAGCCAAAAATTGTTAGAAATTATACACAGTCATAATGTGTGTAACAAAAGTTAAATAATATTATAATAAAATTGTATATATATATATATATATAGGGTCTGTAGGATTTATCAGTGTATGGATCAAATGTTTAGTTCGAACCTGCGACCTTTCAGTTGCTCAGGTCTTTACCACTACACTGGCTACTCACACCAATTATGCTCAAACAAAAAAACAAACAAACTCCTATTAAGCTTGTGTGAGAAAAGACAGAATGACAGTAGGAGAGCTTTAGCACGGTTGATATACTCATTTCTTATTAAAGAAGTATTTGTTTAAAGGTGTTGATTTTCAGTGTGGGGAAACCCATGCAGTGTACACAATGAACCATTCATAGGAGATAAACGTCTGCAAAGTGCAGTAGCACCTCATTGCAGTACACGAGATCCAGGGGGCGGAGTTGGTCCAGATCTAAAGGGTGGAGATGGGTAGGATTAGGGGTGGGGTTAGGGATCAGGAGGCGGAGATGGGTAGGGTTGGGGATCAGGGGGTAGAGATGGTTAGGATTAGGGGTGGGGTTAGGGATCAAGAGGCGGGGATGGGTGGGGTTAGGGTTCAGGAGGCAGAGATGGGTGGGGTTAGGGATCAGGGGGTGGAGCTGGGTGTTTAGGGGTGGGTTAGTGATGAGGGGACGGCGATGTGTAGGATTAGGGGTGGGGTTAGGGATCAGAGGGTGGAGATGGGTAGTATTAGGGATGGGGTTGGGGATCAGGGGGTGGAGATGGGCAGGATTAGGGTTGGGGTTAGGGATCAGGGGCATACATGTGTAGGATTAGGGGTGGGGTTGGGGATCAGGGGCATACGTAGGATTAGGGGTGGGGTTAGGGATCAGCGGTGTAGATGAGTAGGATTAGGGATGGGGTTAGGGATCAGGGGGCGGAGATGGGTAGGATTAGGGGTGGGGTTAGGGATCAGGGGGTGGAGATGGGTAGGATCAGGGGTGGAGATGGGCAGGATCAGGGGTGGGGTTAGGGATCGGGGGTGGAGATGGGTAGAATCAGGGGTGGGGTTAGGGATCGGGGGTGGAGATGGGTAGAATCAGGGGTGGGGTTAGGGATCGGGGGTAGAGATGGGTAGGATTAGGGGTAGGGTTAGGGATCATGGGGTAGAGATGGGTAGGTTTAGGTACATGTAAGGTGGGAGGAGTTGGATCTAGATCCAACTCCTCCCCCTGGATTTCGTGTTCTGGAGTGAGGACCTTTTCGCAAAGTGTGAAGAAACGGGCCTGCAGCTTTTTAAGTGTCAGAGACTAAATATTTAACAATTTAGTGACCTGAATCTGTGTAACTTAACACACAGCACACTTTAAATAAATGCAAAACATCCATTTTATGAGAATCTTGTGATTTGCAAATAGAAAACAACACTTTACTTAGGATTCACCAGGAACTTATTTAGCTAGTGTACTGTATACACAAGTAGTTGTAATGTTTTCCCTGTAACCAAATTCCCCTCAGTCTGGCACTGCTGAAATTGTGTCTGAGGACTTGTGTATCTAAACAGTGTGTGTGGTCTGAAACAGTGTGTGTGGTCTGTTTATACATGCGCACACACACGCACCGATATAAATATAAAATTTGTGTATGTGTTTATATACGTGTGTATGTATAAAATGTATTTGTGTATATACCTGTACATGTGTGTGTGGTGAGTGTGTTCTTGTTTGGTAACGGAGACCTGATTTTGTGCTGAGCTGGTACAGACCATTTCTGCACCGCTGACTTAGTTGCACACAAACAGCTGTTTGTTTAACCTTCCTGTGCTCAGATAAGCGTCCACCTCCTCGACCCACTCACTGCTAAGAAAAGGCAAACGGTGTGTGAGACAGAAAAAGAAAGAGTTGATTACCCCGGAGTGCAAAGCAGGTGCTGAAAAAATTCTCTTTCCATAACACATTTGGTATGTTAACATGCAAATAAAGTTTGATTTCAGCCTGATTTAAAATTTGAATGCTATACACAACACTCCGTTTTGTGTGAAGTTGGACTATCCATCAATCGATTTAACCTTTATTAGTAATGTAATGTATTTAAAGATATATGCCCCTTTACAGCTTCAGTAGCTACTTTGTCAGCTTATGTGTAGCTTGGGAAGCTAATGTTAAATGTAGTAGTGTTGGAGATGCTAAAGTTGCTCCTCAAGTCTGTCTTGTGTGGTTGTGTGTCTGGTTGAGTCATGCTAGCCTGTAGCCTTATTTTGGGATGATCGAGTGATATTTATGCACAGGAATGTGAAGCACAGATGTCTTCACTTCTATGTTTGTTGTGAAAGCACATATCGGCCATTGATTTGATTTCTAAAGAAAAGTCAGTACTCTGTAGATGACGATGTTATCAGGAATATTGGTTGTTTTACTAGTTTACGGTTTTGTTGTGTTATCTCTTGGGATTTAGAGGCAATGGAAGCATACAATACAGTGAAGGTATGGGTTGTTTTGTCTAGTCCAGGGAGGGAGTGGTGCTTTTTAGGCTTTATTGGAACAGACTTCGAGAAAGTGAGCAGAAAAACGGCCGCTGGATGTCTGTTCCAGTAATGAGGGAGGGCCGGATACTCCACAACATGCTTTGTTTAGCACCAAAGCCTACCAGACCAAGCAGAATTCCCCGCTCGCCAGCTCTCGTTTTTTTTTCCACCTCACTCCCTTCATCTCTTTGTCTCGGTCTGTCTGTTTCTTTGAACCAATCAAATGATTCTCTTACACTCGCGGTGTTGGGGTGCCTGATGATTGTTTGCGTTATTCTCAAACAAGCAATTTAACGGTGTTGTGTCTAGTTCTGTACACTTGATGACTGAAATATGACGTGTCCAAATCAACATTTTCATAACCTAGTGCCTACTACAATACATCTTACTGGTAAATGTTTAAAAGTAGTGTCGAATAGTCCCTCACTGCTTATGATTCCCTTTATCTTATGCGTTAGATTGTGATGATTTTTTTTTTCTTGTTAATGTTGTTTTATTGATATAATAACAAGGCTTGTTAGGCTGCATTTACACAGCAAAGCCTTTCCCACAAATCTTATGTTTTGTCATCATTTGATTTATTTTTTTAGTTCCCAAAATAGTTTTTATGCTGATGAGATCACTAACAGATCAACATTAGCAACAATATTATTTTACCATTTATTTAGGATATAAAATAACATGCATTTTATACTGTGCAGTCATCGACTATAGAGTTTCAGAGACTGTCAGAGAAGACGACACTGTCGTTGTCAGAACGATCATGTTTCGGTTCTGCTTCCAGACACACACACACCTTAATTGCCTGATCACTGAATGATGATCGCTATGTTGATCGCTACACTGAGTATGTGTATGTGCCTCACAAACATTCTTTCTATTTGGTTAAGTCTTTAGAAAGAAGTTTGTTTTTCAAGTTGGCAGTGTAACCTGTCCGTCATGTGATTGTAGGACTCGATATGGCCGCCGTGTGACCTGATTTGTCAAGAGAGCGCTGAACCTGATCTCAAAGCTCACCTTTAATCTGATCTGAAGTCAGAATTGCACTACGTCATGGTTGCTTTTCCCAGCAGCACCTCCCAGTCCTCAGGCCTGGTTTCTACAGAATCTCTCACTCCTGCTTATGGGTATTACTCCCCAGTGTGGAAACATGCCCTAATTTTTATTAATCACTATCGTGGTGCATATATGCATGTGGGTTGGAGATTTATAATGTAAGGAAGGAAGTAATAAATATCTGCCAAGTGTTATTACCCATAGAGGAATATCTACAGATTTGGAGTCGAAGCAGCACGGATGGTTTTTGTTGATCCCAAGACTGCAAGCTCACAGATTGTGAAACCTTCAGTCCAATAACCATCAACACCACCATTCACAAATCAACAGTCATTTATGAGGCTAATTTATTGTAGGGTTTTAAAGGGAGACGTTATTTGAACTCCAGGGTAAAATCGTTGACACCTGAAACAATATATTCATGTCCCCTCTTGGGTCTAGTGGTAATTTAATGTTATATTGCTGTAATGGAGATTAGATACAGTTGCGCTCAAGTACATACCTCTCGTTTTTTTTCATTAGTTTACATACCCTTTGTGTAATTTTTAAAAAGATATTTCACATTTAAAAAAAAAAAAAAAAAAAAATATATATATATATATATATATATATATATATCATGGCGGTGCTAAAAGTTTGCAATATTTTTGTAAAAAAAGTATTTAAGCTTATGAAGTGTGTCACACTAAATTAAGACAGAATATTGTATATAATAATCAAAGTTTTGCTGTTTTAAAATAAATAAGCTTGTGTTTTTTATAATGTGTAGTTAATAATCTGAAACATCAACCTGTTCTACTCTTTAATTGCAGTTTTTCAGCAGAGCTTAAACATAGTCTCCCAAAACAGCTTTGACTAGTGAATGCTGAGCAGGCACCTGTCTCAATGGGAGCTATTGTTCACATCTCTCTCTTTATAAGTACCCTTTGGACTCGATAAGGTCCCATTTGGGCCTCTCACAGCACAATGGTGCAAAAAGAGAGAGATCGCCCCCTAGTGGAGCTTTGCTTGCATGTGCCTCAAGTATTAAGATGCTTACTCATAACTGTATTTAACATTGTATTGCTGGTTAGTCAGTTCTGGACAAGTCATATGCATAATATTGAGTGGTATAAAAGTGGCTAAAGATCTCAAACCCTACGAAACAGTGATTCATAACATTTCACCATTGTGTTGACCACATACTATATGTGTGTTTTCAGGAGCAGATCCATGTGCCGGTGTATCACCCCACTCCCAGTCAGGCCCGTCTGGCGACCCAACTGACTGAAGAGGAGCAGGTGCGGATCGCTCAAAGGATCGGTCTCATTCAGCATCTTCCTAAGGGTGTCTATGATCCTGGCAGTGACGGCACCGAGAAGAAGATTCGAGAGTGAGTGATGATGTTGTGTATCTGAGAAAGCGCCTTTTTTTTCAGTTGAGCTCAAAACCCTGAAGTGAGGGGAAAGGAATCAAGTTAAGCTGAAATTTGCTGTGATTAGGACTACATGTTAAATTTATGAGGCGATTTAAAACGGTTTTATTCCTACATTTATAATACATTTGACAATTTTGATATTTCATTCTCTTTTGCATGATTTCTGTAGACTGCTCGGAGTAAGAGCAACAGCATGGGTCTTCCTTATCAGTAAATGATGGAGACGCTGTAACTGCCGACTGGGACTTTTAACTGAACTATTCATTTGCAGACTTTTTACGGTGGGATTTAATTCCCATTAAAGTTCAACGAGTATAAAATATCAAAGATACAAGTAAGCACAGGGATAAAGTTGTTTAAATATGTTTTCCTAACCCAGCTTATTATGCTGAAATCTCTATAAGTTAGCCATTCATAATCTAAAGCCTTCCAAATGTGTAAACACTATCTCTGTGACTGTATTGCTCATTGTTTGAACGCCACAACTAAGCTGACAGAAACTTTAGCTCAACCAAGAGGGCAAGTTTAAAATGAGATTGTTGTCTGACCAAGCAGAAAGGAAAAGTGTTCACCATTCAGTTAAAACATTCTATCGTTACTTATACAATGAAACCGCAATAACAATGAACGCAGTGTTTCCAAAGGAAAACTCTATTTATCGGCTTTAATCTTTTGACTGCTAACTTTCTAGCAGAACTAAATTGGCAATTTCTTTTATATATATATATATATATATATATATATATATATATATATATATATTAAAGACATTAATATTTCTATTTAGCAGGGATGGAATAAATTGTGCAAAAGTGGCAGTAAAGACATTTATTATGTGACCAAATATTTAAAACAAATGCCGTTTTTTTTTTTTCTCTTCATCAAAGAATCCTGTAAAAAATATTTCCACAAAAATATAAAGCGGTACAACTGATTTCAACATTAATAATAAATGTTTCCCGAGCAGCAAATCTGCATATTAAAATGATTTCTGAAGGATCATGTGACACTGAAGACTGGAGTAATTGCATTTTAAAATATATTAAGATAGAAAAGTTACTCGTAATAATATTTCAGAATAGTACTGTTTTCACTGTATTTTTTATAAAACAAATGCAGTCTCTGTAAGCATAAAGAGACTTCTTTTAAAACTTCTGAACCGTAGTGTATATACTGTATGTGTAATGCTTTATTTTAAGCGAAACCAAACAACCTGAATCTGGCTTTCAAGATTTAAAAAAATAATTCAATTTCTGTCATTCCCATTTTAATATCTTGCAGGGTGTGTCTAACTTTTTAAATTCTACGCTACGCCCAGCCTGTGGAAATGTTGTACCCTTTGTTGTCCAGCGTATCGCGGTGTGTGTTGACACGCTCTCTCTCTCTCTCTCTGCGCAGGTGTGTGATCTGCATGATGGACTTTGTGTACGGAGACCCCATTCGGTTCCTCCCCTGCATGCACATCTACCACCTGGACTGCATAGACGACTGGCTGATGAGGTCCTTCACGTGTCCCTCCTGTATGGAGCCTGTAGATGCTGCCTTGCTCTCGTCCTACGAAACTAACTGACTACTGCCTGCACTGATCCCCGCCCTACGCACACACACACAGCCCTGGAGTCCTGTCCTCACACAGCCCCTTTGCATAAAGAGACAACCGTTGCACTCGACTGGGGCGTGGAAAGGCGTGCCTGTGGCATCTTGGGAAGAAGGAGGACCTGCTAGGCCACAGTGATAATTATTTAACCCCTCCTGCATTGTCCTGCTGGACAGGGAAATTTGCAGGAGCCCTTTTGCACCCTGACGACTTCATCACGAGATTCCTTTTTGTCTCTTGTAGACAACACCCAGACAAGCCGGTCATGCGCCATTCCACCGTAGCAACATTTACACTGGAAGGAGACGAACCTTCGAGAAACGTACTGGAGGACTTTTAAAAACACATCTTCAACGTTCAATCTCTATTTATTTCTTTCTTTCTCAGTGTCTGTTTCCATAAAGGGCTTGTTTGGTTTCTGCCGAAGCTGCAGTGGAGCAAAACAAATGGCGTTGCACTTACACATGCAAAGTAAAAAAAAAAGTTTCCTCATGATTTTTGCACTTTTGACTCAAAGCCCAATTGTACACACACACATGCACATACCTTGTGCACACAGGAATCATCCCATGCAACTTTTATTTAACCACATGCTATAGCTTTTGAGTTTGTATGTTTGTTTACTGGTTTTAAACTACTCGATGAACACTTCAGCTGCCCAGTTTGTGTTGAGAAATTATAATTTCTCTGAATTGGTTGTAAGCACCAAATCTGAATGGATTTGGGCAATTAATTAAGTATAAAAATAACATCTTATATAAAACCGGCATTATTTAAAATGTCAAAATAGTGCTGGCTGATCTCACCATGTTGGTCAAGCTGTTTTGTGAATCATGCTTTTTTTTTTTTACATTGTTTTAAAATCATCATTACTGTTATTGTAGTAACAACTGAAAAATTGTATTTACAGACAAAAAACACTGAAGTCATCAAAAGTCTGAAGGTGGCTATGAGGTCAGCCTCATGATTAATGCAATATAGACCATGTGACTCACAAAAGTACATGTATGAGTTTGTGAAACCGCTTGATAATGAATTTCACCTTCATTTCTGATGCACTTGTGTTTTGTTAACTTTATTGTACATAGTGCAATGATATATATATATTTTAGTGACTTTTATTTGAATTCTCAGTACCAGATACTTTAAAAAAAAGTCTTTGTCATCATAAGGGACTCATAAGCCTTAAAAAAAGAAACATTTGAATCTTTCATGGATTCAGCTAAGCAAATAGCGAGTGTTTTTCCCTTTTTTTTGTTGTTGTGGGAAAAACTTCTTTCCCATAGACTTCAAATACTTGGCATTAATTTGCGTTTTTTTTTTTTTTTTTTTTTGTGGAATACTAGACAACGGGCAGGGGATGATCACACCCAAAGCTGGGATGTGCATGAATAGCTGTTTGATGTTTATTCAAAATGAAAGATGGTGTGTGTTTGGTGAAATTACGTCCAGCCCTCTCTCGCTCTGTCTATGACTATTAAAAAAAAGCACAAGAGAGCATAAAAATCAAGTCTCTATTTTTCTTAACTCTCATTTTTTTTTTTATAAAGACAAAGCAATTAGAGTAATTAGAAATGAGAACTGGCTGTGGGTAATATACCCTTTAAATCTGTCCCCTTAATCAAAACAGAAAAAAGTTCTGGTGGTTAGTGGCTGCTATTGAAGTGAAGATTTGTTTTTTTCCTCGTGTTTGAACTCATGCCTTGTGTGGAGTGAATGTAATTGTGTAGTTAATGAAGGTGGAGGAAATATTCTTCATAGAAAAATCCATTGACCTGTTTTTGCACAGTACTTTTAGTTTTAGTTTTTGTCTTCTCTTTTTTTTTTTCCCGGTCTCTCCACACAACGTGGAGCTCCATTGCCTTAGACCAGACTAGCAGGAGGCTTTTGGCTGGACGTCCTGGGCTGACGGGGGCTCTACACCAGCATCAGGAGGACGGAGTGATGATGATGATGATGATTGAGCATTTGGACGTAATAAACTGCGTCCACAGACACTTTTTGCTCCTGAGAGACGTCATCAATGCAATGCCATACATGAAACTGATTATCCATGATGTGCTGGGAGCACATGGACATTATCTGTGATCTGTTTGTATGTGACAAGTGTGTGTAAGGCTGTGAGAGTCTCCCGTTTGTCTGTGAATATATATATATATATATATATATATACATAAACATGTATATATAAAATTATGCATCTTCTATGTACTACAGGCAAATAATAAATAGAATTTATGCTATGAAATGGTCTGCTTGTGTTTATTGTTTTCTTTGAGTATCAATTTTCATTAGAAATATAATTGAAAACATTGTATAGCCTAATGGTTAACAGATCATTAAGTGGCATGTATCCATATAGTTAGAATGTAGTGAAACTACACACACACACACACACACACACACATGTTTATTAAAATGAACGAATATTTTTTCGTGTCATTTGGTTCATTCAACGAACAAAATGAACGAATTGACTCAGAAAGAGATTCGTTCATTTTGATGAAGGAGTTCGAACAGGAGAGTCACGAACGCGCATCACAGAACAAAGCAAGGCGACCATTTGAGCTTATAAAACTTAAACTTCGTTTCTTTTTTAAAAAAAATGAGCGATCGTTTCGCTTGATAAGACCCCTATTCATCGTCTGGAATCGTTTAAAGCCCTTTGAACAGTTTACAGTTTGCACTGAAAGTGTCTTTTGGACCTTGAACCGTTTGGTTACCGGTAAAGTGCATTATATGGAGAAAAATCCTGGAACGTTTTCATCAAAAACCTTAATTTCTTTTGGACTGAAGAAAGAATGACATGGATATCTTGGATGACATGGGGGTGAGTAAATTATCAGCAAAAGTTTTTTTTAAAGTGAACTACTCTTTATGCGTTTTCCATAGGCTCACACACGTAGGCCTATTCTTGCCACTGTAGCCTATATTCATGATTATTATTAATGAAAGTCATATGAATCGATACCTCCTCTTTAAATTATTTTTTTTTTTTTGTAAAATGTAAAATGATGTCACTACCTAATGAAATTATACTGAATTTCTGCTCATAAAAAGGGGTAAAAAAAACGTTTTCGTTTTTTTTCTGCAGTAGCATTTGTGCGTCACGAGAGGGCGCTATAACTGTCATTTCGAAGCACATGAACTGCTGAGTCACTTTTGTTATATGCATAGACTGTAAAAAATATGCTATAGGCCTACCCAGCTATTTCCACTTAAATTTAAGAACTCGATTATTTAATTAAAGGTTGGTCATAACTAAAAGAACGTGCAAAAATGTCATTGTTATAGCCGTTTTGTTTAGAGCTTGTTTTCTTATGTGAGCTTATTTTCCAGTGTTATTCTGTAAATTAATATTTAGTAGGCCTACAGTAGGCTACCATTAATCAGTTAGGGATGGGTCGGGTGTGTTTGCAAAGTGAAATTTGTATGAGAGGATTTCTTTTGTAATAATACACATTTGCCAAAAAAAAAAAACTGCATTGGTCTAAAAGGGCATATAGGGAAGACGGGCCTAGTCACACTTGTCACACTTTTTTACTCCAGCGAATATGTCCAACTGAAGTTTTATTTTCAGTTTCTGTATTGGATCATACCTTAAAGTCTTGGCTGCAAAAACAAAACAATAAAAAAAATATTTAACACGTGCATACATTGTTATTGCCAATAAAAAAGACGCTTCATTAAACGTTAGCTCACACCAGCCTATTTGCGGCAAATCACAAAGTGATCCTGCTTTGTTTTGACGTTGATTTGAGGATTTGAGAAGAATATCTTATTTAAATGTTAAATATTACATTTAAATCTAAATATTAGCCTAAATACATGTTGTTGTTTTTTTTTATATAAATTTACCTGGAAATATATATAGGCCTATATATTGCCTATTTTCAAAAAGCATTTCAATTACTGACTAACACAAGTTACTCAATTTACAAAGGTGGCAACCTGGCCTGACCTGATCTGAAAGGCCCTTTGAAAATTTCTCTCCTATGGATTTACATGCATATGTAAATATATGTAAATATGTACATATTTGTTTAATATCTGCTACTCAGAAATATAGTTTGCATAGAGGCTCTGAAACCTGCAAGTGACATAAAAACTCATTAGGTGCAGTTTTAAAAAAAAAAGTCTATCTATCTATCTATCTATCTATCTATCTATCTATCTATCTATCTATCTATCTATCTATCTATCTATCTATCTATCTATCTATCTATCTATCTATCTATCTATCTATCTATCTATCTATCTATCTATCTATCTATCTATCTATCTATCTATCATATTGTGCGTCATATTTCCACTATCCATCATACTGTGTTACAACCCCCAGTGCCTGTGCAGAAAGTGGAAGGAAGCTGCACGTGAATTGAGTTCATTTTTCATGAAAACGGAAAGCAAAATACACAGTAAATGGATTTTTCATAGAAATGGAAAGCAAAATGCACAGTGGTGAGTGGTACTTCCCAATGTCTTATAAAAGTGGATCTGTTGACTGGCCAATGCCTAACCACCATAGGGCTTTTGGACGTATTGTATCACCCCTTCTGTGCAAAGAGGGTTTTCAAGTGGCTCTCCACCTGGCGGCTGCTCACAAGCTCTTGTAACACTCATAAATTACAAAGTAGCAAATTTGTTACATTGCCCACAAAATCAGTGATGCTCTGCTGTAAAGCATAAGGTGTTTTATTCAGTACTCTGCATTAAATTTCAAACATCAAGAAAGACAAACTGGTCGCTTTTTTATATTATTATTAGCCTATTTGCATTTATTGAATTTGAAAACTGTTTTTAAAAAAGCCCTGCGGTTGAAAAGCAATTACCCCATGCACATACACAAACTATTACATGATATTGATGAAAAACATGACATAAATACATATGCAAAAAAATAATGCATTTTGGATCAATAGAATGACAAAAAAGGGTTGGTGTAAGTTGAAAGATTTTGACCTCACTGGGATATAAATATTGCAGTTGAGCAATTAAACAGACACTGTAAAAAAAAAATCAGACACCGGCCGGGGTAAACAGTTTGTGAAATGCAGATGAAAGGTCTGCCACACGATGCTCTCTCATGTCTTCATTTGGTTCAAATGGAACTGACCTCATAGCAGGGCGACTTAAATAACAATAATAAAAAATAAAAATAAGTCACTAAATAATTGTGACCCAAAATAATATTCAGTGAAGAGTAAAGGATCTGTTTACACAGACCTTCATGCAATAAGAATCAACCCTAATGCAATTCATTTTTACTTTTAATTAAAATAATATAAAGGCCACTCTTCAAATATTCTCCAGTATAGAAAAAATATATTTTGCATTGATCACTTCTACATTACTGTAAGACCACTTAAGAAACTGCATTTAACTGTTAACTATCAGCTCCATCAAAGGTCAGAGCCCTCTATACACCCACTTTCAAGAGAAAATATAGTTTTGTTCTCAGCAGGTACAATCTAAATACAATATATCAAATTTATTACAAGTAAGCTAGGATAAATACAAATGAAATAGATGGTCATATAATCTGTTTCATCTCTCGACATGACTGAGAATGCAAGGGTCAACATTTTTTGCTTTCAGTAGCCTACTGACGTGTCAAAATCTTCAGTAAAATCTTGCTTGCTATACATTCAACATGTTACATATTGATTCTAAGTTATTGTTTTGATTAACTCACACATAAAGCTTTCTTTTTAAATTGTTAACCATACCATGATTGCTAAATTGACCATAAACATGCCCAAACACGTCTAGATGTTTTGCACATTATAATAAGTTATTTTATTTACCTATTTCATCGTTGACGATCGATATAAACCCATGTTGAGAGCTGAATAATTGTCATAAATGTAATTCATTCGATTCGAGGAATAAAGCATCGTGCGTTTCAATAAGATTTTACGCAGCCACGCAACCAGGAAGAAGATCACTGCATGGCATCTCCATGATCATGAAAACTGCTTTTAGAAGCGCCAAATACCCTAAAAGTTTCGTATTCTTTTGCAGAGTGCGTTTGGAGAGAATCGTGAGCGGTTTTTACACCGAAAGCGCCTAAATTTGAAAATCTTGGCACCGCGCAACGGACTGTTTCCTCCCACCGACCTAACGGATTTCTGCTGCTGCACGACCATGAAAACCCTCACAGAGAATCACCATTTTATCATTCACTGTCTATCCGTTTACATTGTGCGAACATAACAGTCCATGTAGCTATCCACGACACTCACGAACCCTAAAAATAAAAGCGCATTGCTTTTTCAAGATAATATGCCACATTTTACGAATTCGTGTTAAAACGTGTCCTCGGTTCTGTTTGTAGTCTGGTTTTGAAATGAATGACTGCCACACACCACATGTCAAAATATTTGTTTTAGATTACTGCGAGAGAAAGCACAGAAATAATGTGCCAGCATGACGCATATTTAGGTTTCACTGGATGCGTTTTTGTTGCTTTTGGTTCGATATATATGGGTCAATAACAAATCATGTCCGAGATTGTGGAAATAATCTTTTAATAACCTACTTTAAAACACATGTAGGCCTATCAAGTTATTAGATAGGCTATATCATCTTTGTATTCGTGTTGGTTTCATATTTTGAGAAAAAAAAAAACCCACACACCTTTTTCTAGCTATAAAAATGGATGTAATGACTCTAAAAATGTCACCATGTGGTCTTTGCACCTTTAACAGATGTGAGTATAAAAAAATATGAATGTACACCCCCCTACAAGTATCATGAATTATTGAGTATAGAGAATTTAGCATTAGGCCTACTTTGTTTGACCTGAACAAGACGTGCCTTGTCATGGAAAGGTCAAAATGTGTGGAACATATCTTCCTGCTTGTTACTAATGTCACAGTGATTTTCGAATATTAATATTTTAAAGCAAAATAGCTTTGTTGTTCATTTTTAAAGAAATAAAATTAGCAGATTATGCCAAATTTAGGCTACTCCAATATCCACCCCCCACTACAAAACGCTTATGGTCTCTCTCTCTCTTTTTACAATCTCCGGACAGTTACACCGCCAGTTATTATTACTTTTTAAAAACCCTATAAATAAAAATATTAAAATGACTTTTATTTTATAAATTTAAAACATATAATCCAGAGCGTTACAGTAGCCTATTTTTTAAAGACGAGGGAAATGTAGCGTAGCTAATTCTCAAATGAATTATAGAGCCATGAAAATGGCTATGGTTATAATCATTTAGTTTAGACTTTTCACTAGTCTACAACGAAAGCTGATAATTGTAAACTGTCAGGCTTTCTGTTTACAGAGGGAACGGCAGACAACTGGTGTTCTGCTAAAAATATATAGGCTACAACTCTGCCACCGCTAACGTCACATCGTTTTTATTTAGCCTGCTTTAAACATTCGACAACATCAAACAACAGTTTCAAATATTCCATGTTTAATACAGTCTCATAAATGTTTTCTAGGCCTACCCGTATTTCAGTGACACGAGGCCAAAAACACAACGTCATGAAAACATACGGAAACCGTTTAACAGGTGTCTTTGGTTTGCAAGGTTTTAATATTTTAAATGCGGCAAAAGACAATTTTTCACAGTTAAAAAAGCATTAATTACAAGCAAAAGTGCAAATTTAATGTCATAAAACTAAACACAACAAAAATCAGAGCAGTCAGGGGTTGTTACGTGAATTTTGACCATTATAGTGCAATTACTTCAATACAAGATTGATTTCTTTGAGCACATAAATTCATCTAGATTATTTTTTTTTCTTGTTATAACACAGGACAAATAGGACAGGTATGAGATTGAAAGTTATAGTGACAGAAACCTACAAATCTAAAATGGAGACTATGACCTGAAAAATAGCTCATTGAAAACAAAACCCATTTATCCAGTTGAAATCGTGGGCCATATGAATTACAAGCAATGTCAAAAGTTAATTGTTCTTCACAAAACGTCAAGCCCCTGAGCCCAATATTTTACATCGCAAAAAGAGGTAGTTGGCTGAATTTTCCGCAATGCAACAAATCTCTCATTCAGCATTTATCTGCTACCTCTGTTACACAACAAAACACACAGGCCCCCTCTAGCTGGATTGTGAAGGCGCAATGTTCTCTAACCACTCCACAGTTTGATATTTTTTGTGCAATGACGCCAGGTCAAGAGGCGTTTGGCCTTTTGCGTTCCGCAGAAACGGCTGCGTGTTGCAGTAAGATACGAGATACTGCACGACATCCAGGCATCCTCCTTGCGCCGCCAGATGCAGAGGCAGGTTGCCCTTGTTGTCAAGAAGATTGACATCAGCGCCATTCTCCACGAGCACCCGTAGAGTGTCCAGATACCCGTCTCGCGCGGCGTCGTGACTGACGGTCAGTCCTAGGATGGGGTCGCGCGCGTTTGGGTCTGCGCCTGCTAGAAGCAGCGTCTCTGCTATACGCGGGCAGCCAAGTTTCATCACCTGAGAGAACAACCCAAAGAGAACACGTGTTAAGGTGCTAAGAATATTCGTACAGTAAGTCATTCATGACATAAACAACTAACGTTTTAGCAAAAGTGTGCATTTTTAATTAAGCATTATGAGTGGATTGAAGGTTTCAATCAAGATGATAAGGTGACGCATGAATATGAATGCATTTTAGGTCAAATTGCCAACATCTTTTAGATACAGACATGTATGTGTGTGTGTGTGTGTGTATTTATTTATGTATGTATAGCATATGATAGTTCTAAGAATGTGTACCTATTTCTCAGAAGAGATTTAATTTTTTTGTTGCTGTCATGCAAACAGAAAGAAATCGAAGAGAGGAATTGCTGCAATAACCACTACTTCAGAACAATATAAAAAAAATATTTAAAAGCGAACAGAATTTTAAACACATAACGACCTGCTAAATTACAATTCTCTGGTGATAACATAGGCCTAAATGAAGTTATAAAGTGACGTCATTCCCAGGAAAAAAAATCTACATAGCCTACAACGAATAATGTTTATGGAAATTTCACCAGTGCATCATACGGATATTTGAATATGGGTAATGCTCCATCTCAAACAATTTTAAACCTTGAACAATTATTATGCATGCATTTATTTGACCTCACGTGGAATGTTAATAATCTTTTATAAATTCATTTGTCACATCACAGACACATTTTAAATGCTCTTGTGGAGGTAAAAGGAGATAACACGGGAAATAAAACATATGACCAGTCACAGCACTTAATATACACCTTTACTTATTAATTCATATATATTTTAATATGAAACCGTAATGTTGATCAAACAAAATTTCACGAATATTTAATCAATGTATCATCTACATCCATGCAGGCAGACATTGATAGCAGCATCGAGGGGATTACCCAGAGTTTAGGTTATCACTCATTCCGAAGCTGAGAGAATATATTGTGTGAATATGACACAAGCACATGAGTAATAACAACATATTTCATACTGACCGATATTAAACAGCTTTATTGTGTTTGGTGTAAGTCCAGACGGCCTTCTCATTAGAATTATATTCGATGTATAACTGAAATAACAATTTAAAAAGTAGAAACAGCCTCTCGAAGCTTATTGAATGTTCATATATAATATGACTTCAATAGTATTTAATTCTAGAGTTTTATCTTACCCCATAAAAGTAAAAAATAAACATAAGCATCTATAATCACATCTGGCCTTATTGCCAATAAAATTGAAACTTTTTGTTACACCTACGTTGTAAAAAAAACAAACCCTGAAACAATTACAATAACATCTGAAGGCTGCCAAAAACGATAATGTATTTCTTTTAGCTCGTGATCTGACTATAGTGTAATAAAACAGTTTCTAGTTACACACAATAAATGCTTTATGTATCAAATGACGAGTGCTAATAATTTTTTTGGCATAATAAAATATAGATTATTTGCAACAGGTGCGTAGGGCTACTTGTTGGTTTGCAGGTAATTCAACTTTAAAAAAGAAAACCACATGTTTAGTTAGAAGTAAGTCAACCAGGCCACTGCTCATGGTGACTGCAAGGAAAAGGACAAATTGTTTTCGTGAGGCTGATGTACTATGCATTATAAGCAACACCGTCTTTCTTTAAATATGAAAGTTGTTCGTGGAGATGAGCGTCTAACCTGCAATGGTGTCCTGCCGAACTTGTTCTTCTCATTAACGTTCACGTTGCTTTGCAGTATCTGTTCAATTTCCATCAGATTTCCCTGCGCAGCAGCAGTGCTCAGTCCATCTATAGTTGTGTCCTCGGCCATTATATACTGACAAAGGAGGTAAAATATCTCTGATGCTTGCTTTTAAAAAAATGTACGCTGGTTTATATGGCAAAAGTACTACAAAGCTGTAGTAAATAGTCCAATCCTCCAGCCCCCCTAAAAAAAAATATCCGTTGGAGACGCGCCAAGGTCCACCCACATTAATATCGTCCTACCCAAGCCATCGGAACCAACGGAGAGAACAGGGATGCCATGCCATCTCTTATCAAATATACGGACATTCAAGCAATATATGCATATAAACAAACATCATAGTTTATATGATCAATGCGAGAGAATCCTTTCCGTGTCCATGAATGACATGAAGATCTGCCGTGGTCTCGGTCCAGATATGATCTCGCATTCAAACAGATCTGTAGCAGTCACATGAAAAATGCTCGCATCTGACAGCCAAACTTCCCTTTAATGAGTCCTCCGATATGAACTATATGCAGGTGCATTGGGCTGGAGAATTGGAATGCGTTCATGGCATTGGCAGATGTTGTCATTTCAAGCCTCCAAACGACCTCTGAAAAGAGATAGAGGGAGAAGACTGTTATTCGCGAGGACTTTTTTTATTATTTCGCATCCAGTGAGTTCGCAAGGACGTGTTGCAAGTTTAATGCAAGCTTCCCGCCCATTTTGAATATGAAACGTTAAAGCAAATCTTCTTTGATGTGCACATCAAAGAACGCTGGCATGAGGGTTATCAAAACTGGTTATCTGACACTAGTCGCCTATATCGAGTTGACACGCGTAGAAATAATCTATAATGGGCTTTCAGGCTGCGAGAAAGCATTTTAAACTGCAGCCGTGAATATTTACAAATGTTCTGTCGTGGTGATTCCTCGCGCACGGAGCTGCAGTTACACTGTGACGATTCAGCCGATGATGGACGACGTCATAATGTATCATTTAAAATGAAATGTTGTATCCAATACCTGCAGGATGGTTACGTCGCTTGCATCGAGTTATCCTCTCCAAATGGCTCATAAGCGTTGAATAAGCTGGTTGCAAGACAGCTGACTTTGTCAATGAGACTGCCGCTGTTGTTTGACATCACTCCGTTTTTGAAATAAAGAACGGCCGACACTTCCGCCCACTTTTTCTAACAGACGCGGAATGAGGCGGGACTCAACGGCAATGCAGCTGGGGAGAGGCTGAGAGTGTGTGAGAGATGCACTTTCTTTCTGCTAAATTCTCACCGCTTTTGCCATGTTAAGCATTTATCTTTGAGCTGTAAAGGCTTTTTAGTGTTGGTGTTCCCAGTGTAAGATTTCTCTCTCTAAAAAAATGCGTTTGAAGTGAAACTCAGGAGGAAAGACTGTAAAACACTGAAAGTTGTATATCCAGTCATGTGAACTGACGAGATGCTACCCCTCCAGCGCAACATAAGTATCATTTTCTGAAAACGGTTAATATTTGACCATCCCATCGTTTTGTTTATTCATTAGAATGAATAGACATAGCTGTTTACATTAATCGCCTACTACAAACTATGGGCTATAATTATACTGACACATAGCCTATTGGTACATCTCTGCTTAAAAACATATGCCTATTAAACTGGGCAATGCTGTTTTCCGCTGTTATAGAGTATTTATAAGCACTTTTTAGTGGGTTATGCTATGAGACCTGCTAAGATCAGGAAAACAATTTAAACTGGCCTATTTTTTTTATTTATTGTTTGAATGGTTTACTGTTTTTCTAATCTGGCCAAGATAGTGTTTAGCTTAATGAAAAGCTAATAGTTTAGCCTGAACCACTGAAAAGCGCTCCTAAAGCCTGGTAGGGTTGGCATAGCTGCTATAAGACCTGCAAACCAACTAAGACTGGTTGAAGAGTTTTTCCCCAGCATAAACACCAAGGAAACGTGCGTTTAGCCAGAGTCCTCCCTGACCCTGTAATTTGAAATCAGCCCTTCTAATCTAAACGGTCAAGAGTTAACGTTTGATTAGTCATCATGTTTGGCATCAAATCATGTTTACAAAATAAAAACCTCGTTTTGGGGGTTAACACTGAGGTTAAACCGTGAAAATATGCTGCATATAATAAGGAACTGCCTACAGAGCCTATAGACATGTTTTGATAAACTATTTTAATGAGTTTTTTGTAGTAAAATGTCTCAAGGTAGTCAAGAAAGTCACTTGTAAGAAAGTCCGTTCAAATTCAACAGCGGCCCTGCTGCTTTAAGAATACGCAGCACTTTCCAACCGTAAGAGTTGCGCGACACTTCACAGCACTTCTTTACGGCAGCCGTATGATGTTTTCGTTGCTTTGAACGCCGATCCACAACAGCAAAGTGACGATAACAGAAAAACTGAAAGCCGCCAAACACTGACAACAAGGCGCAGAAGTGCAGCATTTACACACAATTACCTGCTGCATACTGATAAGCCGTGTCCTGAACTGCTCTTTTGAAATCGGAGGTTGATATTTTTGGGGTTTTTACATGAGTCGTTAGCCTCTCACTGCAATGGCCTCCGACAGCAACATGGACAGAGAAATGATCCTGGCCGACTTTCAGGTGGGTTTACTCGCATATGATCTTATAATCTGTCATTTTATAAGGTCTGAATGTTCAGTTAAGATCCGTTCTTTTGCCTGCTGACTGCTATAAGGGTGACGGCTATTGAAGTCAGTCCTTTTTGTTGACATGTATCGAGATGATGAGCTGTCAGTGGCTTTGTCTGAATTATTCAGCAAAAAGGAAGTCTGGCAAGCACTTGATCGGGCAAAGTAAGAATAAAAAGCTGAAAATACATTATTTTGTTACCATTTGCCTATATGGAACTAGAAAACATTACAGGACTGACTGACATCTGAATCCTGATCTGTGTTTTCATGACCCTGTTATGTCCAGAAGCTGTCAAATGACTGCACGGTTTTCTCTGTTTGTACACTGCCATCAGCTGTCACAATCCTGTTTTTCAGTTTGGTTGCTTTAAAATTAAACGTTTTGGCAATATGTGCTTTAATTTTAAATGTGTCACATCTAAAATATGTAGCCAAACTAAACAAATATTTAGAGGTGGCAGTCACCAAAACTGAAGGTTGCCATATACATAATAATAAATACCTTTTCATATAATTTGATAGCATTTCCTGTCTGTTAGATTGAAGAAAGGTTTGCTGTTACCTACTAGGTAAAGTTAAATATCACATATTACAAATGTGTACACTACCGTTCAAATGTTTGGGCTGAGTAATTTTGCTTTTTAAAATTATTTTTTACTTTTATTCAGCAAGGATGCATTAAATTGATCAAAAGTGACAGTAAAGACATTTATAATGTTTCAAAAGATTTATATTTCAAATAAGTTCCGATCTTTTGAAGAATTATGAAAAAATTGTCACTGTTTTCACAAAATATTAAGTTTTCAACATTCATAATACTAAGAAATGTTTCTTGAGCACCAAATCAGCATATTACAATTATTTCTGAAGGATCATGTGATACTGAAGACTGGAGTGATAATGCTGAAATTTCGGCTTTTGCATCACAGGAATAAATGACATTTTAAAATGTATTTCAATAGAAATGGTATATTAAATTGTAATAATATTTCACATTTTTTTCTTGGTAAGCATAAAATACTTATTTGAAAGCATTAACAATTATGACCAACCAACCCCCAAACTTTTGAACAGTAGTGTATGTGTTAACATTCTCAGAAATGTATTTTGGACCATGTTATTTAATTCTTTCAAAATAAAAAGAAGAACTTTTGGCTTCTGGTATTTTTAATAAGCAAGTCCATTTGTTTCAGGCATGTACAGGAATCGACAACATTGCTGAGGCGATCACACTTCTAGAACTGAACAACTGGGACCTGGTGGTAAGATGCACTTTGTTAAATCTGTAAGACTGACGCACCTAGATTTGTTTTAAATCACAAACCATTTTAACAAGTGTGTGTCTTATGCCTTCTGCTTATTGTTTGTATGTGGATTGTGGTGATGCAACAGAGAGACAAAGCCACTGTGTTTTAGTGCAAACTCTATTTAATGGTACCATTGTTCACAGAACATTCTGGCACAGTTCTGTAGATGTAGTAGCTACATTCCCATATACCTCTTACATTGATTTTTAGGAGGAAAATCTAGTCAGTCATCAATGAAACATAGTCTGACATGTTAGTATTCATATTTTTGCATGTGTGCTCAGCATTTTGAGGGGCACCAGTGACCGTTTTGACAATTCAAGTCATGATAGTCTAGAGGTGTAATTTTATAGTATGCATGGGGACAGGTTCAAAACATCATATAATATACATTTTAATGAACCATGCAAAATTGCAGCTGAAATGCCAGGGATTGCCCTGCCTTTTATATATAGAAAACAGTGGATTTTACATTTTTAGATAACACTGTTTTTGTTTAATGGATAAACCCGACCCCAAGTGAAAATAACTATTATTTAATAAAATATAACTTTCATTTTTAATGTAATCAATCATTGTTAATCTATTACTATGCTATATCTTAAATTAATTGGAAACATTGTTTTTCTAATTCTTGTCTATTTATTATACACTACCATTAAAACATTTGGGAGCAGTACGTGTTTAATGTTCACAAAGTCTGTATTTATTTCAAAATCACAGTAAAAAAAAAACAGTAATAATTTGAAATAAATTACAATAAACAACAGCTTGGTCATGGTTCTGTGGTCACAGTCACCGGTATGGTAAATGCTTTGTCCTGCACGATTAGGAGTGCACAATTATGACATTTTAGGTCTATACTGATATTTCAATAGTGCATTAAGGCTTGGCAATAAGTTACTGCACCTTTAAAAACATTTAGGTGCTTTGCTGCAGTAAAATTATGTTAAAGATTACAAAAGAGTATTACATTCAGATTTCAGACCCATACAATCTATTTAAGCTAGGGATGGGCAACGATTAAACGCATCCAAAATAAAAGTTTGTGTTTACATAATAAATGTTTGTGTAGTGTGTATAATTAATTTGTATATATAAATACCCACACATGCATGTATATATTTAAGAAATATATGTGCATGTATATATTTTATATATATTTATTCATAATTAATATTAAATATAAATATTTGATCTATTAATAATACATTTTTCTTAAATATATATATGTATGTGTGGGTATTTATATATACAAATTAATTATACACACTACACACAAATATATTATGTAAACACAAACTTTTATTTTGGATGCGATTAATAGCGATTAATCGTTGCCCATCCCTAATTTAAGCTAGTCCCTCAACCACTACAGTGAGAAATTTTTACCTTTATTTATCTTAGGCCCTGATTACACCCTGTATAAAGTTGTGTTTTGGTCTATTGGATTTCAGTGGATGAGGGAGACACATTCCCATTCAAACCTGATGTTTTAACCCAACTCTTTTTTCCCCCACCTTCGACCACGTTTGTCCTGATTTCTTCGAGGGCAGGGTCTATGGGTGGGCTAATGTATGGGCTTTTTCAGATCTTTCGATCTAATGGACGAAATAAGCTCAAAAACGTAAAAGGAGACGATGGGAAAACATACAGAGAGCAGCAGTTTCGTTTCTGCTCTGAAATCCGCAATGCTGAACACTGGGTGCATGTTAGAAATAAGGAATGAGAGAACATTGTGTTTGTTACATTACATAGACCCTGTTTACATCTGTATTTAGCGTCATCCACTTGTGATCCTCAAAAATCTTAATACCAGGTGTAAATATGGCCTTAGAATTATTCAATCTCTTTTAAGATTTTGTTTTAATTAAGTGATGTTCTTTCAATTCTTTAGTTATTAGTGTTTAACATGACTAAGTTTGGATTAACATTAAATGGTTCAAGTGACCCAATTTTCGATTTTTTTTTCCTCCCATGCGGCACAGATCAGATATGACCAACACGTGTAAACTGGAAAAGAGCACATGCATTTCGATATTCTCAGATCAGTTTCAGGCCTCATTCTTATATAAAAATAAATCTGATATGTGCACTTGCGTTTGCTATGTAAGCGGACATCAGATATTCCCCTGTCGAGGCAAATCGTACGTCATTGAAAAAGCAATGGTGGCAAATAAAGTCAAATCAGGTGGACACCAATCACACTCACAAGACTCAAGACTGTTTAATGG